TCCTCCGTGTGTAGGGAAGGACGAAGGAGAGGAGGACCTGAACATTGAAGACTGTTACGTCCCGCAGCGGTCCATCTATGACACAGTTAGACTAAACGAACAGATAGACTCGGGTTCCAAAGGTAGCCTGTCTTCTAGGCATTTCACAGAGCGCACTTTACCCTACAGTCACAGGACGCTAGACGGCAGCTCATTGTGCTCCAACGGTGCCCTTTCCTCTTCCAGCATATTTGAGCTGAGAGGCCGGGAAGCTAGCAAACTAGATGAAAAGATGATCTTTGATGCCCTCAAGCTAAACAGTGACGTCATCCGAAGCACAGGTCTGTCCAAACCCAAGTCCCAAGCAGAAAAGAAAGAGCACAGGAGGTCGTGGCGGATGTTTGTCCCAGCCAGTTTTATGGACTATGCAAACAAAAGTGAAAGTTCTTTTGTTGAACCTACTGATGTGTCGGATGTTGTTACCAAGGCCGGCAAGGGCAGATGGGGCACTAATTCTCAGACTTCGGAAGAGGATGACTCTGGTTTGTGTAGTCCCCCAGCAGAGAGAGAAGAAAGGCAGGGCATTTTAAATGGAGACCAGCCACAGCTTAGAAGCCCGTCTTCTGCTGAAGATATCCACAGATCAGAGCAATACAGGCCACTTTTCCCTGCGGATTCCGCTAGCGAACAGAAGATCCCACTGCTTTCGTGCAGGAGTGCCCACCCCGATGACAACTTCCAGGATGTTTCTTTACTCGAGGGGAACAAGTGCAGGAGTGGTCAAAGGGCGCTCTGTGGTGAGGATGGCTGTGTGCAGAGCCAGTTGAGAGCGGATACAAAGTGTGGTGCGTTAGTTGTGCCAAGAGACGGAGAAAACAGGTGGATTTCCAACTCCGAAGAAAAGGAGACAGCTTCCAGACAAGGGGAGCCCCAGATCGCAGCACACAGTAGGGGACATGGGAAGGAACCTCTTGGGGGTTTAGAGCTCTCTCCCACAGACCTAGGAGAGCGCCATGGAGACTTTGGTAGCCCAGGTTTGATAGAAAATGTGATACTGTTGACACAATACGATTCAGCAGACTGCAACGTGGCATCTAAGGGTGACATAGAGGCCCCCTTTCCTGCCCAGGAGATGGGGGTGACCCAGATGAAGTGCCCCCTCCAATTCATACCAGTAAAAAAGAAAACAGGACCCAGAAGAAGGGGGGTCCAGGCAGGAACATTGAATACGGTCTGCAATGGCTTCCAGTTGGTCCAGGTAATTAATGGGATTGGAAAACCACAGTGGCAGCTGCCTGTGGTCCTGTTTCAGAGGGGCCAAGAATGATTTTAGTAATGATCAAATGCAGTCATTCACTTGAGGGCCTTGATTAGCACCCTGCCAGATGCCAGCAATTGATGAATCCATTGGTGTAACAAATTAATTAGGGGTTGTTGGGGAATGGTCATTCCCAGATGTTCGGGGGGCCTGTGGTGATTGTAGACAGTGGCTGTTGTAGTTCATTCAGAATTCCCCCACTGTTAATTTGGGTTAATGCTAGGGTTTTGCACACATTGTGGTTTAAAACAGTGCCATTTAAGGGCAGTTGTTTTGAGTCTATTAAGTCTATCAACAGGCTTAGTCATAAAGGTACAAACACAGTGTTGTATTTGTTGTGGTCTGCAAAGCACTCCACCCACCCCCATGGGGGAGAGGAGAGAAGATGCTGTGCTTTTGCAAGCATTGTAGACCCTAACTCTCCAGAGCTGCAGATGAGCTAAGAAAGTAAAGGGCCCTGCCTTGTAATAAGTGGAGGTTGTCTGTCAAGCCTGTAATTTTTTTCTTCCCACTCAGATTCAAGTTGGCTATTTTGGTGTTTCCCCTAAGCTCTTCTGGTAAACTTTGCCTTGGAGTTAACTTCATTTTATTTTAAGGCTCTCTGTGTTTGTGTGCTGTGAGTGTGTGGGTGGGGGGGGCAGAGTGGGGGGGCAGGTCTTTATAGGTATTTGTTACTGCTCAGAGATGATGAGGAATCTAAACAGTATCACAAGTACCTCTTTGGTCTGTGCCCTTCTGTCTACACCTTTCCTTGAGCCTGCATCAAATGCTCTGCTAATTTAAAGGTTTAGCAAAATACCTTTTCCCTATAAGATTCTATAGCTGATGTGTAAAATTGTGTTTTATTTTTCCCTGACTTGGCTGTTGGTGCAGTCATTTTGAAAAATTTTGGAAAGTGATCACAGACCCACGTAGACCTGCTCTGATACGAAAACCCTTAGTATACCCAAGATCCAGACTGCAGACAGTTTACTAGAACATTGTTATTAGTAAGGCTTTTGTCCTGAAAACCTTAACGTTTTCCCCTGAAACATTGTATAACATACAAGAACACAGCAGTTTCCCTGACCCTGTGTATTTGTTTGTAAATTGTTGGACATCCCCTACTTAGCTTACTGGAAGTGGTACCTTAGAAAGTTCCGTCGAAAAGAAACAGGTGTGTTGGGGGGGGGGGAGTTCCATGGAGGATGGGAAGGAGAGGGGAGGGGGGGGATGACTGATATGTAAAATAAGATTGTTTCTAAATTATTTTTAAGAAAACAAGAAAAGGGAAACAGAATCACAGTGCCAATACCACCCGCTGCAGCTATCTGTTGACGTCCTCAGGAAGTCACACCTTTCGAAACGCAGGAGAAAGGCTCCCTTTTCACTGAGGTGACCAGGGAATCTTCTGCTGCCTTCATTCCAAGCAGCCAATTTCTTAATGGCTGGTAATTGACATAGAAACCCTCAGCCAGCATGGAAATGTCTATGTGCATGGCCAGTGGAAAAAAAAGCAGCTTGAACTTTTTGTTACCAGGGCAGCTCAGGGGAAACAATGGCTCGTTTGTTTACTCTTCCCGATGTATTCGTTCTTACAGTTAGCATAGAGGTACCCTGCATGCTCAACAATGGGCCAGCCAGCGTCTGGTCTGGGGCGTTGTCTCCTCGGCCCCGCCTTCTTTGTGTACAGTTACTTTTCACTGCTAAAGTTTTCTCCTGAAGTGTTCTTTTCATGTAATCTGCCTTTATTATGTTTCCATATGTTCTGCTTATCCAGCCATTAATTATTTTTATGGTATCCTTCAGTATAATGACTCAGAATCCCAAACTTTATTCTCCCTTAATATCTGTGTAAAATTTTCATCACTAAGTTAAAAATAATTGATTTTTTTTTCTTCTTCTTAACACCCTCCAAGCCCAACATTTTAAGTATTTATATTACCTGTGTGGGGAGGAAATAGTGTGTTACTTTCACTGCTACCTAGAAAAGGGTTGATAGCATCCACCCAAGATAGGTGTATCATCTTTTATGTGTTGACGTCAATCCAGCAAATAACTATTGAGTACATATTACTATCTAGGTACCGTAGCAGGCCCAGGGTCTAGGACTATTATACACAAAACAGTAATTTCCATTTCTGTGAATTTGTATTTTAATCTAATGTACTACATCCTTTATTATAAGTCACAAGCAACTGGGGGACCACACGCTGGATAGAATGTCGGGTAGGGAAGCGAGTACCAGGAAGCTGTTGACAGCAGTTTCATGAGAGGAAGCAAACAATGCGAAAGCACAGCCCATGTGGGGTCGGACCCAGGGTGAGGGCTCCTGTGTGCAGGGGCCATCATCTCAGTCATGCCCACCTTTTCAGTGCCTTTGGCGCAAGGATCTTCTGCTCAGGATCTTCTACACTAGAATTAGAAGGTTTGGTCTTTTCATGGAATCCCCGGGGCTTTCTCGTGTTCAGTCGCCGACTTTTATTGAACGAGTAATTCCTCCGCCGTGTCCTCAGGAATCCCTACTCTGTCTTCCACATGTCCCGTTGTGTGGGCAAGGCTTTCCTCTAACATTTTTATTCGTCTTGTTTGTTGGTTTTAGGTTGTTCCCCCCCCCCTCCCCCAGCATGATTTCAATTTCAATTTCTGCAGCCATTCTATGTCTCTGTTAGATTCTGTTTTCATATTCTGTAAACAAACCCTCTTTATTTTTCATTCTGATCTTTGCTTTTGTGCTTTTGTGGTCTACTCATCTCCTCTTCAAGTTGTTTGAACATGGTTTAGTCATTCGTTCAAACCCTTTGACTGTGTCCCGTTGGACGCCGGTACGTGTGGATTGGCAGTCCTGGGGAGAGACGTGGTACCCTGGATTTTCACTTTTTCCTTGTTTCTGCACGACAACTGTGTGCCTGACGTTGGTTGGTGAACTGAGTTTTCCTTTCGTGTTTTATGATTAAAGTTCAAGCTCCCTTTCGCTGGAGGTGTTCACGGTGTTCAGGAGAGGACTGTCATAGGCCAGAGGCTCTAATGCTACCCTTGCTCTTAGGGTCAGGAACTGTTCTAGGACAGCTGTAGCCTTCTCTCTGGGCCCACAGCTTCTGCCCCTGGCAGCTGTGAAACACCCTTTGCCTATGGGTCTTGCCACGTCACCTTGGGCGTTCCCCGGGGTCTGCATACTCCGCAGTGGTGGTTGTGGAGCTCCCCACGTGCCCTGTGTCCACAGGCCTCTCTGCCTTTTCCACTCGCTGCTCTCCTGCTTTGGCCCCTGGGGGTAGGCATGTACTTGGCCTCTTGACCTACTTTGCTGCCCTGCCAGTGACTCTCCGTTTGTCCTTTGAGCCGCAAGCTTCAGTTGCCCGGCATCCACGCTGCCCCAATCCTCATGAGCCCCCAGGAGAATCCCTTGACTCGAAAGGGGCTTATCTTGTCATTTCCTCCTCAGCATTCTTTGTGTGTGTGTGTGTGTGTGTTTTCCCCAAGGATGGTAGGAAATTCCATTATACTTACCTTGGTTTTGCTAGTGATCTTAGGAAACGTATGTAGGATATACTGTTGAGTGCCACAAATTTGTATTTCACACTCCCAAAGTAAGTAGCAGTGGTTCCCGTCCACTTGAGTGACGGTCGCTAGCTTCTGCTTTGTAATGGGTCCGCACATAGTCCCTGTACATTTGGTGGCTGCTAGGTAATACAGTTCTTGCAATACGGTTCTCCCCAACCTGCAGGTGTTCCAGAAAGAAGAGATTGAACCTTTGCAGGCGAAGCAGCAAGACGTGAACTGGTTAGGCCAAGGCCTCATTCAGAGCGCAGCTGCAAACACGTGCACTCAGGGGTTGGAGCGCGACCTGGACGATGTCAATGCCCGGTGGAAAACTCTCAACAAGAAGGTAACGGCCCGGCCCCTTCAACTCCTCAGTAAAGGTCCGCTGTCAACTGTGATGCCTAGTGGGCGTATTTGTACTGGTACCCACACTTGCCCAAGCATGCTTGTCCTCTCCATGTTGCTCTGCATGTGGCCCCTAACAGTAGGCGGGGAGTAGGGATGATTAAAGTCCATGGGCTGAGACGGGACTCGTCTCAACTTCCACAGAGACTTGTGCGCAGACCGAGCAGGTGTGACCGTGGCAGCCATGGTGGGCGGCCCTGGGTTGAAAGAACGAGCAAGCCCCTCATGCCGCGGGAGCCCCTCATGCCGCGGGAGCCCCTCATGCCGTGGGAGCCCCTTTGCCCCTGTGACTCCCAGACTTGGGGGGGGCTGCAGCTCCCTGTTGCATTAAACTTCTCCTGGGGAGATGCACGTGAACAGCCATTCATCACCCCGATGGGCACTCACAAGAGACCCACGTGGAATGTCACGGGGGTCCACCATTTTGAGACCAGTGGGTACGCTGAATTTTTACAGGGTACAGTGAGGGGTTACGCACTAGAGCACGGGTGACCCCCCTCACCCCTAAGTAGCTAAGTCACCACAAAGACCGGCCCCATCGTGGGTGGCGTTAACCTTTCATTCCCCTACAGTTTAACATCACCCAAGATCACTTGGAGATGGAGCAATAGTGGGAATCCCAGCGTAGGGTCTCCAGACCTCCCCAGGGAGTGCCAGAGGCTCCGTTGTATTGTTTTTTGCTCTGCTTGCCATGGCTACAGAGGCAAAGTCCAACAATGGCATCTTGTTGTGGACAGAGGGGAGGGCACGGTAGGGCACACAGACACGCACAGGAATACACACAACAAAGAAAAGAAACGGCTGGGAGATGGTAGGGAAAGTGCCTGCCTGAGTCGGGAACCTCAGCGCCCACCTAAAGGCAGGGGACACCGGCCTGTGACCCAGCACTGGGGGGTGGGGACAAGTGGAATCCTGACCCATCCTGTCTAAATGACAAGCTGTCTGTTCCGTGAGACAGGGTCTCAAGAGTGGAGGTGGGAAGTAATAGAAGACACACAAAGTCCATCTCTGGCCTTTATACTCACAGGGAGAGGGAGGGCAGGGAAATGTGGCCAAGTTAGGAAGGAACTGTGAGAAGTAGCTGCAGTGGGCAGACTTCTTTCTTTCTTTCCGATGAAACAAGTAAACACATAGAATCAACTGGAACTTTGCAGGTGGCTCAGCGAGCAGCCCAGCTCCAGGAGGCCCTGCTCCACTGTGGGAGGTTCCAGGATGCGCTGGAGTCCCTGCTTAGCTGGATGGCGGACACTGAGGAACTCGTGGCCAATCAGAAGCCCCCGTCAGCAGAGTTCAAAGTGGTGAAGGCCCAGATACAAGAGCAAAAGGTATATTAGTGATGTTTCCATATGACAGCCGTATGATGGACAGAAAGCACCGTGTACAGTGCTGGGTTCGGTCAGACACAAAGCATTTGATGACTTTTCCAGTGGTTTAGCAGCTCGATTGGAAATGACACGGGAAAAAGACATAGCACGTGATGTATTAGTAAGGTTTCTCCTGTATAACTTTTAAAATGGGGAGTAGACTGATTTTTTTGAAATCTAGTTAATCATTACATAGAAAAGTTCTAATTACAAAGTGTGTGGAAGTGTGTGTGAGGTATGCGGCTGAGTGCATGAATCGAGGGGCTAGAGAAGGACGCTGGGTGTCGTCCGTCCCCCCGTCTGTCCCCCGTCTGTCCCCCCGTCCGTCCCCCCGTCCGTGTCCCCTCCCCCTCGTCCCTCACCTTGTTTCCTCTAGACAGGGTCTCTCGGTGAGCCTGACTGGCTGACCAGCATGGGATTCTTTAAATCTGTCTGTCTGTCTCCACCCACCCACCAACTGGGGAATGTTAGGTTTGCAAGCATATGAGTTCCTGTGTGGGTTGTTATGTGGGTCCTGAGCAAGCATGTATACCTACTGAGCCATCTCCACGACCCCTTTAATCGTTATTTATCTTCCTAGCCCTGGTTTAATGTAGGTAGCAGGCATAATAATAATAATAATAATAATAATAATAATAATAATATGCATATTCTCTCTGTGTGTTTGTGTGTGTTGTGTGTGTGTGTGTGTGTGTGTGTGTGTGCGTGTGTGTGTGTGTGTGTGTTGCTCAGAATTGGACCTAGGACTTCTGCCATGCTAGGAAAATGCCTTACCACCTGGGCTATTATATTGTATATTTCAAAATACCGATACATAACACAAATTATAAGCAGAGGAAGGGTTAATTAGTTTTATTAAATCATCCTACAGTATATACATGTATCAAAACATTGCATCGTAACCCATAAGTACATGCACTATTTGATAAGCTAAATGTTTTAAGGAAACGTTTACATTGGCCTTGGATTTTTAGCGCTGTACTGCTTCCTTTAATTCTGCATTCCATGTCAGACCTGGAAAGACTCCCTGAAAACTCCAGCCAGTTAGGAAGCCGTATGAGAAATGAAGCCGGGCCTTATGGCTCGGGCCTGTAACATTAGCCACTTGGCAGGTAGAGGTAGGAGGATCACAAACTCTTGCCCTGCAGGAACGTAGCTTGGTGAGCAACTCACTGAGGGTCTGTATGGAAACCAAAAGTGTACAAGCAGCTCGGGAATACGATGTAATCAGAGTACAGTTGCCTGGGTTGCAGGAGGGTCCAGCTCAGGCTCCAGTAGAAAAAGAAGGATGAAGGAGACAGACACACTGGGAATCCCATTGTATCTGTGTGGTTTTTAACTACGTAACTGCTACCATTGACTAATTTAAGTTATTCCCCCAGGGTTAGTTAATGATGCTTAGTCAATAAAACCCATTTGTTTGACTCGGTCTGTTTAATTGCCAAAGGTTTTGCTATTTCAGTTTACCAGAAGTAACCTAGTTGGGCTGGCAGTATGGATCAGTGGGTAAAGGAGGGCTTGCCACCAAGCCGGACAACCTGAAGTCCTGGAAATCCACAGGGAGACAATAGAGAACTAACTCCCACAAGTTTGTCTTCTTGCCCCTACAAGTGCACGCGTGCGCTCGCACACATGATGTGTGTGTGTGTGTGTGTGTGTGTGTGTATTTTTTTTTCAAGTATCCTGTTAGTTCTACCTAAACCACGCACTTCACATTGTTTCCCCCATGTCCTGAGCTGTGTCAGGAACATGTGTGATCCTCTCCCCTTGGAGGCATGTGTTCCCTTTAATGCCCTTCTTGGCTGTCTCAACCTCAGAGTATTCGTCTAGCATGTTACTCCTGGGTTTAACATGAATTTTTACTCTTTGCTGTCTGTCTCTCAGGACCAGAGGAAAGAAGGAAGCAGAGACCTATCTGGTTGAGCTCCTACGCCTCTTTGCTGGAGCGCAGTGCTTATATACAAGGTTGCTTAGGAATGATTTGTTTTGATTAGTTAGGGCAAGGTGACCCTGACTATGGCCTTCAATTTAGGTTTAAATTGAATTTCCTTTTAACTGCTAAGTCCTGAAATCTTAATCTTTTTGGCAGCTCTCAAGATCCCCACTCCCCCTCAGTGTACCCCACACTCCCTTCTTTTGAGTGTCTGAGAGCTCTGTTCAGGTTTTCATCCTCGATTGGGTTTTGAAATGCTGCTTCTGCCCTGTGGGAGTTAGGCGCCTCCCACGAAGCCTTCTGACTTGTGGGCTTGACCTGATCGTAATGTGCTTGCCTATAATGCATTGTGTCATGTTGGAAGGCCTTTTGAAAACATCTGTGACTTATGGAAACCTTTCATTTTGACAGAGCTGATAATGGTTGGTTACTTAGGGCATTCCTGTTTCATTAAAGTAAGGGGGATGTCATACTTTTCCCGTGGTTCAGTCTGCTTATCCTATGAGAAGATTACAGTGCCCTTATCAGTGAGAGTTGTCTATTGGGAAAGCCACACCTCAGTGCCTGGCACTGTGGTAGCAACCAAGGCTTTTCTCTTGGCTTTTTTTTTTTTTTTTCCTCTCTCTCTAATGACATTTATTTGTTTATGTGGCCAGCATGTGCCGCAGCATGCATGTGGAGGTCAGAGGAAAACTTGTAGGAGTTGATTCTCCCCTCCCACCATGTGGGTCCCAGGGATCAAACGCAGGGCTCAGTGACAAGCCCTCTTGACCTGCTGAACCATCTCACTGGCCCCAAATGGATTATTCTCAAAGCCCCACTTTTCATATTTTTTCACCTATATCCATACAAAGTATGTCTTCCTTGGCGAAAGTGCACGAGATACATAAGATATGCAAACCTTTATAATTATTAAAGCATTCTCTGCCTCTTGAAGTAATTGAATGTTTTCTATGAAGCTTCTGCAGAGACTGCTGGAAGACCGGAAGTCCACTGTGGAGGTGATCAAACGAGAAGGAGAGAAAATCGCTGCCTCGGCAGAGCCTGCCGACAAAGTAAAGCTGTCCAGGCAGCTGAGCCTCTTGGACAGTAGATGGGAGGCACTTCTTATCAGAGCCGAAGCAAGGTTTGTAGCCCTCCCCGTGGACTCGGGGCTGTGGGTTGGGCCGCACTTCCCTTTAAGTCCATATTCTCCACCTTTGTATATTCATCGTGTATACAAGGTTGCTGTGGTGCCCGTCTTCTCGTTCCTCTGATGTCACGCGGCCACCAGCTACATCCCTGCTCACTAAGAAAGCATTTCCTTTGAGGGTAGTGCAATCATTTGCGCATCGAATGGTCACTCTCTCCCTACCCTGAGTCAGGCACAGGTAGATGCATTTTGGGTTATGAGGCCAGACAGATCACCTCTGCCCTCCCCCCCCCCTCAGGTAGGCACAGACTTATAGACGCATGGCCGTTGAGAAACGATGACAAGTGTGATGCTTTAAAGTAAAAATGCATGGTAAGATGGAATCATGTAATAGAAAGAACTTTGGAGCCCAGGAAGTGACGGCCATATTTTAAGGAGGGGTTAGTTAAGAAGGAAGCAGCGTGCGGTGCTCTCCCTCCATGAAGACGGGAGAGCTAGAATGTGGCTGTCCTGGGCCTGGCTCACAACTCTTATTACAGAGTCACAACCAGTGCTGACCCCCTGTCTGCAATGATGCTTTAAACTGACTGGGGGTCGCTACAAGAAAGGGGTGACCGGGTTGGCAGCAAAATAACTGTAGTGCACAAACTCCTGCTTCTTCAGAACGGAAAGGAAGGGTGAGGCTTTGAAGAGTTTGTGTGCTAATAGTTGGTGGTATAATAGCATGGAGCCGGGTATGGTGGCCCACACCTTTTATCTGAAGGCACAGGCAGGTGGGGTTCTGTGTATTGTAGGCCACCGGGAACTGCATAGCATCCCAGGCCAGCCAAGGATATAATGAGATAATCCTTCTCAGCTTCATAGGAAGTTCGTCTCCCAGATCGTATTATTCCTGCAAAAGTCAACATGTCAGGAAGATAGGACAGCAGCCAGATCTCCACAGAGGACTGGCAGCTCGGCTGGCGAGGAAAATGGCAGCAGGGATAGAATGGGGACCTGGGTGCTCCTCCACAGCCCTGCGTTTCTGAAATAAATCCGAGGGACTCTGTTCTTGACAAAGTATTAACTGTTGCTTTTGACAAGCACAGTTGCTCCTGTATTTTTCTAGTAGCAGTCATAATTCTTGAAGCTTTAAAATCGGTCCACTCCTGACCGTCTTGTTACAAACAGCTTCAGTGGCTACCGCTTCTATTTAAATTCATATCCAGTGTGCCAGGCATACAGCGTGTCTTAAGTAGTGTTTCCTGCCGTTGTTATTATTGCTACGGCCTTTAAACATCCTTAGAGTTGGCGTGCGTGTCCTCGGGGAAGGTGGCTATCACCCTTTATCACGTTCAGGTACTTGATATCTTGTTTAACCTTATTTATTCAGAGACATTTTAACATGGCCTTCACATATCTGAGTTTTAAAGCTTAGCCCTTGTTGATCTCTTTAAAACCTCGGGGTTTAGAATACAATGGGAGGCCCATGAGTGGAAATGTCCGGCGATGATTTTACACATTCTCCCTCCTAACTGACCTTTGTCTCGGCAAATGATTAGGAACCGCCAGTTGGAAGGTATCTCGGCTGTAGCTCAGGAGTTTCATGAGACCTTGGAACCACTGAACGAGTGGCTCACGACCATAGAGAAGAAACTGGCAAACTCTGAACCCGTAGGAACCCAGGCGCCGAAACTGGAGGAGCAGATTGCTCAGCACAAAGTAAGATGTGTGGTGTGTCAGTGAGGCTGGGTTTTTCATTTGTTCAATGGTTTGTGTGTCATGCATTTGTTATTTCGTGCATAATTGCAAAGCTAAGTCCATTTTTAAATCATCCCTTGGTTCTGTTTATGTTTTTCATTTGTCCATTCCTTTTTGTTTTGTTTTGTTTTCCTTTCTTGAACTTTGTTTAGGCTTTAGAAGATGACATCATCAGTCACAATAAACACTTACACCAGGCTGTTAGCATCGGCCAGTCCTTAAAGGTCTTGAGCTCCAGGGATGATAGAGATATGGTACAGAGTAAACTAGACTTGTCTCAAGCGTGGTACTTTGAGATTCAAGAGAAAAGTCACAGCAGGTCTGAGCTCCTCCAGCAGGCCTTGAGCAATGCTAAGATTTTTGGGGAAGACGAAGTTGGGCTGATGAACTGGCTGAGTGAAGTGCATGGCAAACTGAGCAAGCTGTCAGTCCAGGACCACAGCACCGAGGCTCTATGGAAACAGCAGTCTGAACTTCGGGTATCTTCATTTATTTCTCTCATCTGTTCTTTTTTTTTGTTTGTTTGTTTCGGTTATTAATTTATTCATTTTTTTTAGTTTTATATTATTTCGTGTCCATTACGATCGTTATACTCAACAGCAGACTTTCTCTTGTATGTACAGGATGCTTTTAATGACAAGCTATTGGATTCATCCATTTAGCTGCCTTTTTTGGTGTGATTACTGTTATACTCAGGGACCCGTAATAAATCTGTACTTCCATGCCCCTACTGAGGCATTTCTATAAGGTCCTCCGTGTGTCCTAAAAGGGGAGTGCTGTGAATTATGGGTTATGGAACACGGGTGGATGGGAAACGGACATTTAAAAGTGGGAGGAGTTTCTGCAGACCTGTCCATAGAGCCCAGTGAAAGTTCTCTGGGGTTAGTGAGTGCTGTTGCTGATTTAAATTTGGCTTTCCCCTCCTTCCATACAAACGGTACCTGCCGTCTTTAGGCTCTACAAGAAGACATCCTCCTCAGGAAACAGAATGTAGACCAGGCACTGCTGAACGGCTTAGAGCTGCTCAAACAAACCACAGGTGAGACGTCTCTGGCCCGGGCTGTCCAGAGCTACCACTCTGTAGTGCTGGCAGGGTATTCCAAGGGCTGGGGGAGAGGGAACAAAACATTCTCTAATTTTTGAGGCAGCTCTAAGACCTCATCCTGCAGAATGCTTTGAAGGTCAGTCAAGAGGGCTTTCTATGTGATCTCACTGTTTTTCCCATGATCTCACTTGTGTTCTTAGTGGACGCTGTGTGTATTACTCATAACATAAAGCGCTTGGCATAGGAGCTGGTCAGAGAAGCCTGCACTGGAGCTATATTAGTCTTCCACCATTGGACGACTGGTGAATACATGGGCTCAGACTGTTGGTGGTTGTTGTTTTGTCTTGTTTTAAGGCAGATTGCTCTGTAGTGATGCTTGTTAGGGTAGTCCGAGGGTTTAATTTCCCCAAGCTTGAGCCCACTAAGAAAACAGACGCACGGCTTAATACCTATTTGAGAGGCTTTTGAGCAACTCAGAGGAGTGAAGTTATTTTAGCAATTCTTTGGCCTATAGGAAAGTCCTTATCTATTTCAGCAATGTGTCTGCGAACGCACGCATGGTGCAGCTGTCACTCACTCATTGTGGCTAAAGACATTCGATGAAGTGTCTAGAGCTTAGGGCATAATCTGTGCCTGTCTGCAGAGGAAGTAGAGGCAGATAAAGATTCCCGGAAGTGTGAAAGTGAGCAATGATGAGCAAGCACAGGGAGGTTAAATATCCTGCCTGACGTAACCCCGTTTCTAAGCCATGATATCAGTGAGCTGAGGACGGCCAGTTTTAGCTCTCACTCTTTGATGACAGAAAGCTTTGCAAGGTAAACCAAACATGGCACATAACCCAAGTGTCTGCTTTCTACTTTCTACTTTCAGCGATAATATCATGGCTAGCAATCCTAGGGAAGAAGTAAGCGAATCTTTTGGGTCAGATTATCTTGAGAGAAAAAGAAAAAGTCTCCTCTCTGCCCAAAAACATACCATGAGTAGTGTCAGAAGAAACTCTGTGCCCTCGCTTTTTACCCCTCTATAAGAAGTGATATGTCTTTTGAAATTTTAGGTGATGAAGTTTTGATAATTCAAGACAAGTTGGAAGCCATTAAAGCAAGGTACAAAGACATCACCAAACTGAGCGGCGATGTAGCGAAGACTCTGGCACAGGCTCTGCAGCTCGCCAGCCAGCTTCAGTCCATTCACAAGGAGCTGTGCAACTGGCTGGACAGGGTGGAGGTGGAGTTACTGTCCTACGAGACTCAGGCCCTGAAGGGAGAACCCTCAAGCCAAGTCCACGAGAGACAGAAAGTATGCAACTGCGTATCTCGGAGGCATTTGTTACCCAGGAGGGGTGGATCTGTGAGGGTTAGGTTATAGCTGTCTTGGTGGGTGGGGCCTGGCGGAAACAGGCAGTAAGGGTGACTGACTATTCAGGCTGGGAGTGTTGCTCACTTTAAGAGTCGTGTGACTGGGAACACAGTTTCCTGCCCAAAGGTAGAATAATGAAGAAGGAAAAATAGAAAAAGAGGATGATCATTGTTTCAGAGATTTGTAAAACATTTCTGTCAGAGATGGGTAGCACGGTGGGTTTTCTGACAACATCACATAAATACACTGCCTTTCCCAGCATTCCTTTCGGATCCCATTGGGGGCAGGGGGACCTACCTGGTGGGGCTGCAGTGGCTCAACACCAGCATGTCCTCTCTGCAGGCCATGTTCCACTGGAGTGCAACAGCTTTCTCGTCTTTCACTTACATGGTAACTTGTTTGGGTTTGTGTTTCCAAGCTGCAAATATTTATTTTCCGCTTCAAAGACGGCAGTCTTGCCATGTCAACAAATGAACTGCTCTCTCCAAACTCCTCTGGAAACACTTTCAGTTTTTACAAAATAGCTATAAATAATGGACGTTTATTTAGCTCACATGGAACTAGCCAGGCCAAGTGTGCAGCTTTGTCAGCCAGCAAAGGACCCCCAAGAACAGAAGGAGAGCCTGCCCAAATGTTTGTTCATCTCCCCCCCCCAACCTCCCCTCCAAACCCCCGGTGTGTGTCTGTGTGTCTTCAAGGAGCTGAAAAAGGAAGTCAAGAGCAACAAAGCCTTACTGGACTCTCTTAACGAAGTGAGCGGCGCGCTGTTGGAGCTTGTGCCCTGGAGGGCGAGGGAAGGACTGGAGAAAATGGTGGCCGAGGACAACGAGCGCTACCGGTTGGTGAGCGACACCATCACCCAGAAAGTGGAAGAGATCGATGCTGCCATTCTGCGGTCTCAGCAGGTAAGACCATCTTGTGGTCTTGGCAACAGACGTTCTCCAACAGCCCAGGGTCTCTGCCCGAACAGACATGTGCACTACTGCATCTCCGTTCTGATCGCTGTGCTTCGGAAATGAGCTACAGGGATTTTAATAGAATTTGACTGGGCTACATCTGAGCACTAGGGCACCGCCAATCTGCATATCGCTAACAACCATCTGCCCCCATGACGTCACGGACGGACAGCACCCTGCCGCACACAGGATAGCCCTGCTTCCCAAACAGAATGCTTTACCTACGTATGTGTGTGTTGCTCATGCTAGTGTTATGCCTAGACTAAGCCTGATGTACCTGTGAGTAAATAGTTTGAATTAGTGTATAGGTCAGTATTAACTGTCCCCTGGCATACCGAGATAGCAAAGAGAAAGTCCTTTGTTTTTTTAAAGGAAAACAGTTTTCTTCTTGACATAGAGTCTTTTCCACAGATGACTAAAAGGGAGGGGGGGGGGTAATGATAGTTTCTGACCTGTCTGTGGCTTCACACAGTTTCTCATCCAAAGTTTTAGAGAATTCTGCTGTTGGCCCCAGCCCTGTGGAAAGTGGTGGGAAGTCAGTTGAGAATAGAGGTTTATTGTGCATAGTTCAAACTATGTTGAAACCGTTGTGGCTATTTACATTCAGTCATCAGGTCTGGGTTGGTTTTGTAGGAGGCCTCAAGCTGGAGATGTGTGACTAACCTCTTTAATCGCGCCAGGCAAGAGCGAGACACAAAACGCACTGTGGGAGAGAGTCTCTGAAGTCGGTTTTCTGACACTGAGGAACAAGCCTGTAGGTTCTAAAGCTTCACACTCTGCCCTCACTTTATTTTAATAGTCCAGGTCACAAAGGCTGACGGAAAGCCACGGTAGCAAGGCCCTGCCTAGGAAACTTCTGTGAGGGGCACTCATGCCTGAGGAATGTGTTTGCCGCCTGGCTTACAGTCTGCAGGAATTTGTACGCCTCATTGTTGTAGGAAAGTGGGAATATTTATTTGTGAACTTTATTCAGCTATTTTAAAATGCTGACTTTTTTGTTTTCATTAAAATTTATTTGAACATCTCAGGGCTGGCACCAAAGCCTTCCCTGAGTAACAAGACAAATATTTTGCCCTTTGGGAGCACACTTTGCTTAAGCAGTTGACCGTGTTAGGTTAGTTGAGTGACATGAAGCAAATCCGGGCTGAATTACAGGTTGAGTTCATATTGGTATATTGGTTAGCATGCATTGAAGCTTGCTCAGTCACTAACTACAGATCAGTGATAGTCAAAAAAAAAAAAAAAAGTTTGCAAGTGTTTCCCAAAGATTTCTTAAAACGCCATTGTTCTTAAACTGAAAGTTTAAAATATCCATCCTTAAAGAAAACAGTATTGGCCAGGCGTGGTAGCATAGACCTTTAATCCCAGCACTCCAGAGGCAGAGGCAGATAAATATTCCTAGTTTTTATATAGATTTAAACTTTGCTTTCCTCCGCCTGCATCCACTCTCAGTGAGGCAGAAGCATCCTGGGGTGCTGCCAGGGAAGGTAAAACCTGGGTTCCTGTGGCCTCTAGGGTTCGTCTCATTTTTTGTTGGGTGGGGCTGGTCTTCCCAGCTCTGCACAGTGAGGGAGCCCATGGGGGTCTAACACGGAGTGACGAGGAGAACTCCGTCCCTGATAGGTCTGCTGTGATGCCAGTAGAGAGTAGAAGTGTCTCGCTGCTGCCTGACCAGGTGAATCCAGACTCCACACTGGACCCCTTTGCCCCGGAGGAAGGAACTTAGTGTTTAGTCAGTGGGAATAAGACGTTGGCTCCTGCTTACCGTCACCCTGAAAGGGTCACTGGGAATACTGTCAACGGGCCCGAGGGTGAGGACCCAGGCTCCTTATACTCTTTCCCTTGGCATGAGTAAGCAGGGCTTCCATTCATTCTGTGGCTTTTTGATTGGCTTGGAGTGAGGACTGTCACTTTCCTGACCTGCTAGGCTGCCCTGCCTCTTCCTGCGTCCTTTGGCTAGCGAGAACGGGACTGTCTTCCCTACATCTGTGTGCATTACAGATGGTTGTGAGCCACCGTGTGGTTGCTGGGAATTGAACTCAGGACCTCTAGCAGAGCAACTGGTGTGCTCTTAACCTCTGTATCCATTGGTGTGATGGGTTCCTTGTTTGTCCTGTACTTAGTCTTGGATAGGTGAGGCGCAAAGAAATAGCACCCTTGGCGTGTTTATCCTCAGGACCCCAGGAGCATTCTGTGCATGTGAGTTGTGCCAGGGGTTTCAGTTTGTCTTACCTTGGAACGAGGAAAGTTGGTCTGTTCCGTTTTCCCGTGTGTCTACATTGTGTTAATGTGGAATCTACAGTAGAATTGTTTTCTAGCCCCTCCCTTCCCTTTTCTTACATAATTACCCTCCTCTACTCCCACTTTGGTTTCCAGCTTCTCTTGCAAAGTGGGACTTTGAGGCAATACTGGATTTGACACGTTGCAGTCTCCATTTCCCATTAGTTCTTCCAGCCCAAGCTTATGCTTACCATTTATCGTTGGCGGCGATAGTATCACTCGCCGGCCTTTGGATCCCTGCTTGGTTCAGAATGGCAGTGGGAGTCTGTCGGATGCAAGACACTGAAAGTGTTTGTGCCCTTCGACAACACAAAGGGACAAAAGCAAAATATGGGGAATATTCATCATAAACCAAAAAGCAGGGTATGGAAGTGTCCCTGCAGTATTTTGTAAGTCTGACCTTCCCAGTTTCTTGGCTGGGGTGGGGGAAAGTCACTAAATTACCAACAGTAGTAACTCTGGGTATCAATTTTCTTCTGTTTATTTTTCTCTGCTTTAAATTTTTTTTTTCTGACATGCCTATGAATTCATGCTATGATGAGGAAAATAAAGTAAAACATTTAGGAATGATCTTGTACGTGTTTAAAGTCCAGTATTAAATAAGACATTTACAGGTCAGGCATGAATTGTCTGAGTGTGTTCTCATACCCAAAAAACACCTTTTTGCACACACATTTATATATACGTAAACACACACAGTAAAGAAGTGAGGACATTGCGTTCTTTTATCGGGAGCTGGGTCTCTTGATGGCACAGTGTCACCTGCCCACCTGAGAGCTGAAGTCACTGGGAAAAGTCGTTTAAAATGGTATGGGATTGTCAGCTTTTACAGCAGTTATGGTTGGATGGCTGCTGCGACACCTGGACAGAAGGCCACGGAGCCAGCCATCCTTGCATCCCTACTGTGCCTGTTACCGTACAGCAGTGCGTAAGGGTGTGTGGGCAGGGTTCTTCCTGTCACTGGGCCACTCATGATTTACTGTAGCTATGAAAGGGGAAACTGAGAGTCTCCAATTAGGAAAGGGAGTATTTAGAAGCAATGTAAATAGGTGATTTTTCTGGCACCACTCACAGGAACTTGCTGACCTCATTATTATCTTCTGTTTAGTTTGAACACGCGGCAGATGCTGAGCTATCCTGGATTACTGAAACACAGAAGAAGTTAATGTCTCTGGGTGACATCCGGCTTGAGCAAGACCAGACCTCTGCTCAGCTGCAGGTTCAAAAGGTGAAGAAACACATTTTCAGTTGCCGTCTAAGTTATGTGTCACTAGGCTCCAAGTCTAGAAAAATACATTCACATGGTTTTACTTTCCAAGACCCTGTCAGGGCAACGTGATGTTTTCAGCTTCTTCGCCTTCACTGACTCACACACTTTGTTTGTACTCTGTCTTTGTTTGGCAAATTCGCAGGCATTCACCATGGATATTTTGAGACACAAGGATATTATTGACGAACTTGTTCAATCCGGGCATAAAATCATGGCCACCTCCAGCGAAGAGGAAAAGCAGTCAATGAAGGTATCCCATTGCCTTGTCTGTATGTATGCTAGGCAGTGAGCCCCAAGTGAACGGCATCGCTGAGCACTGAGTTCCAGAAGGGCACTTTCTGTGTCATCTGCAGTCACTGTTTAAGCAACACCCAGAATCATTCATTGTAAATCAGGCATCTTTTAAGGTTACCCAGTAACCATGGAAACCCATCCCCCAGAGGACAGTCCATGTTAATGCACCTGAGCTATTTGAGCTTCCTTGATTAACACACTTTGAGCATTCAGTGTTAGCTTTGTTACTGTTGCAATCCTTATGAGATATGTCAGCTGTGGGCTATACACCTCCGGGACAGTTGCAACTTTGAAGCCGAAACAAAATGCAAAAACCATAGATTTCCATTCCCGTATAGAGTTGTTGTAAGCCAGCAGGTGAACGATGAGCTAATTGCTAAGGAAGCACCCAGGTGTATGTAGTTTCAGTAATTGTGCAGATGGATAGAAACCATCCACAGATAAAAGCAGTTAGCTCAGCTTTAATGGGCATCTGAGTAGCTTAATGAAATGACCAAATGTTAATACTTCCAGGTAAGTTTATGACCCCAGGTAAAGATACACAAGCATCCATCCCTTAAATGATGTTTTAGATAAAATACATACTTTTTTCAGGTAGGGCACAGGTAAAATTACAGATTGTACAGTACGGTGATATTTTTCGCTATTTCCTTTTTTTTTTTTTTAAGCAAGAGTAGTTTATTAGTCTATAACTAATTTTTCAAGGATTCAGAGATAAAAAATACAGATCATGATGAAATAATTTCTGTTCTGACTTGTAGTTACCAGGCAATTATCCTCTCTTCTACTCTTTCTTCTAGTGAGTTTACATTGCATCCTCAAATCACTATACCTCACAACACTAGCCTATAGCACAATGGCCTACTTTGATTCCCATGCATGTGCTTAATTTTATTTTTAATTGACTTTTATTCTTAGGATTTCCTTTGCAAAAGATAATCTTTTTCTCCAGATAATAGTGTTAATGTTGGCAGACTTGTATGAAACTTACATTCCTACCCCGAGAACAGTGTAAGGATACTGGATAATTCTGTTTATTATGTCTGCAGAATTCAGTGGCTTTTACATAGAGATTTGAGTGCCCTCCCTAATTTAACATGAATGTATGCATATAAACAGTTAGTCCGAGTGGCTTTCTTTTATATTTACCTCACATCCATGGCTTGTGTCCCTGCTCTGTGCCGCGTGCACAGAGCTGGTCAAAGCACCCTGCACTACAACCTCCAGCCTGGCAGTCACACTTCCTCGTCTCATTTTCTAGAAAAAACTGGACAAAATATTGAAGAGCTATGATGCCATTTGCCAGATTAACTCAGAGAGGCATCTGCAGCTGGAACGGGCCCAGTCCCTGGTTAGCCAGTTCTGGGAGACGTACGAGGAACTTTGGCCATGGCTGACAGACACACAGCGAATCATCTCCCAGCTGCCTGCCCCGGCCCTGGAATATGAGACTCTGAGACGGCAGCAGGAAGAGCACCGGGTAAGAGCTGGAGAACGAGCCGTTAACTGGGGGCATGTTTAAAGTGCTGTTAGACACCATCCAGAAATAGGGCGTCTTAGTAACCCTGTGCTGTGGTCAGCAGTCCCTCACGCCTGGACAGCTGTCACCACACTGCCTACCTCACAGCGTCCTTCAGTACTGTCGTGTGTACGAGAACCCGTCTGGGTAGGAAAAGGAATACCATTTTAAAATGTTACGACGTGAGCTTCTGAGGTGCTTTCAGTTATGCATGTCGAATGGCGTTCCATGTACACACATTGATTACGTTCTATGCTTTATATGTAGTGACCAGAGCAATCTAAAGTATCAAAGAGTAGTAGAGCAGAGGTGTACGGAAGAGCCATCACTCTCTCTCTCACACACACACACACACACACACTTTTATAATTGAGTCTGTGTGTGGAAATACTTTCAGCAGCCCTTCAGACAACTCAAAAGCAGCGAAACACCTGTATATTAACTCTTGACTGCCTTTCCTGGGTGTGAGCCCTCTCAGAAGCTCCTACTGGAGGCTGGAGTGCAAACCGATGAGAGGTAGACCCGGTAAGGACAAGGGCATGCTGACCAGGGGCCAGTGGAAACCCTCCATACTTGGAGGCTGGCCCGAGAGACTCTTCAAGGAAAAGGCTCCCGTGGGAATGGTTCTGGAGTGGCCCATGAAGTACTGCTCCTCCGAGGTCCCAGCTTCATTCTGGCTCCCTGCACCTCAGCCGATTAACCCACGTGAATTCCAACTCCACTCGCCAGTGTAAATATCGCACGTCCCAACCAGAGGACAGAATTAAGCAACATTTCTTATGATACATATTTTCCTTAAATATACCTTATAATAATGCTCACATACAGTTGTGTGTCTGATAAATTCCGTTACCTTTGAAACTTTAAAAGTTTACTGTAATAAACTGGTGGCTGGAGACATGGCTTGGCACATGTTGCTCTTAGAGAGATCTGGTGTAAGTGCTCAGGACCCACATGGCAGCCCACCGCCTTACCTGTAACAACACGCACACACACAAATAGATATAGTAAAATAATTAATAGAAATGAATCGATACATGTAGTGCCTTAATGTCATGTGTATATAGGCTAGGTTCTAATATACATATGTACTATAATGTAATATATATATGAGTGTCCGTCTGATACTGGTTCACACGTGTGCCTGTGGGCTCAGGCCACTCCCGTGCTTCTCTGTATTGAGGTTTTTAAAATCCTGGTCTTGTGTCTTTCTTCCCCCTGGAGAAACTTCCTGTTTTTGATATCCCCTCCCCAATCATCTATGTACATAATATGAATGTGCAGAAAGAGCACCCATGGCTCGGAAGGATGCTCTTGTGAAAACGGGCCTCCCTTGCTATGAAAAAAGCACACATTGACTGTTTCCATTAGTGCCGATTCGTCCGTGTCCTGAAAGGGCCGTTGTCCCGATCACCTGTTGGGGCTTCTCCTTGCAGAGACGTGGATAAGTGCCTTGCAGCGGGGGAGGGCGTTTGTTTCAAGTTGCTTGTCAGCTGCATGCGTTGGAGATGGGATCAGTTGTAGTACGGAGGTGTGACTCTGAGATGCTGAGAGGCTGTCTGTTTTCTTATAGCAACTGCGAGAACTGATAGCTGAGCACAAGCCTCACATCGATAAGATGAACAAGACCGGGCCCCAGTTACTGGAACTGAGCCCAAAGGAAGGCGTCCATATCCAAGAGAAGTACGTGGCAGCCGACACCCTTTACTGTCAAATCAAAGAGGATGTCAAGAAGAGAGCCGTGGTACTTGATGAAGCCATTTCCCAGTCGACTCAGGTAACCCTTCACACTAGGAAAAAATCATTCCTTCCTGACAGCCAGTCGCACAAAGCATTTTCCTGGGCCCCCTGATTAAATGTCGTCCTCAGTGACATAGACTGCATTGTCTCTGAGTGTGGTTCCTTTCCTCTCGGGGGTGGAATTTGCTTGCAGCCAACTCTCAGGTTTCTCTGCCTACTTCACGGTATAACAATAAAACAAATGTCATCGAATAGGAAACCTACTTGCAGCAGTGGTCAGATATTTGCTTCAGTGTCCATCTTAAGTGGAACACAGACTTTGGCGATGAGGAGAGAAAGAAACTATTGCAGCCATTAGTAATAAAGTACTCCTAAGAAGGCATTTGGAGGAAATCCTGAGAGATATGAAAACTAACTAGGGAACAGACTCTTTATAAATACCAGTTTTTCTTTTCTTTTAAGAAATGACTTTTTGAAAACCTATAATAGGTTTTCCATTTTCAAGGTTTTGGGTTTTAGCATAGATGCTGGCTGGCATCAGGGCAGCATTCTTGGTGATCAGGTATGTGTTCTAGTCTCTCTTCTCTTCTGCTGCTGCAAGCAAATGCTCCGATGAGAAGCAGCATGGGGTGGAGCGGGTTTGTTTGCAGGTCACAGTCCCTCACTGTGGGATGGCAGGGCAGGAGCTCAGCAGCAGCTCAAACAGAGACCATGGAGGAGCCCTGCTTGGCCATCTACCCAGAGGCCCATGCTTAGCTAGCGGCCCTCTGAGCCCTGCACCGTCTGCTCAGGAGTGCGCCGCTCATAATGAATGAAGCTGGCCATCCTTCATCAGGCCAGGCTGACCCCGGGGAACCCCTCAGCCGAGACCCCCTCCTCAGATGACTCAGGTTGTGTCAGTTGACTGTTAAAATGAGCTAGGACAGTGTTGCTTCTCTCAATTTTGAGGCTACCATGGAATCTAAGAATAAACATGGTTTCATGACATTGTGTGATTGTGTGGCGCTTTTTATAAATATAAATTGAAAATTAATTATTTCCTGTATCGAATTGTATGTCTGACCATGAATTAAATGCAAACTTTGGATACAACGTTGTACATATTTTTATTTTGTTTAATTTTACATTTTTTTTCAATCCAGGAGATATGATGGAGATATTGTTCTGTAAATATGTTTCTGTTATTGGTTAATGTTGGCCAATAGGAAAGCAAGCTAGGCGGGACTAGGAGACAAAGAGGGAGGAAGGAGTAGGGAGGAGATTCAAGATGGAGGACCTACAGGGTAGTACCCTGGGCCCTCTCTCCAGTAAGATAAGACCACTTAGATTAATAGAAATGGGTTAATATTCAAGACAGAGCTAGCCGATAAACTAGTAACTGGCCAACAGAATTATATCTAATACAGCATCTCAGTGTATGCTAGAGAGTCAGTGGACCCAGGCAGGCAGGGAAAGACTAATAATAACAATGTAACTCAAGGAATCCCTTGAATCTAATCAAAATCACCTGTGAATTTTGCATGCACTTGTATAATGTTTTAGGATTTCAAAATGGTTATTTGAAACGAATAGTCATATTTGACAACCAAATGTTCATCTTATCAAAAAGAAAAAGAAAAAAGAAATTGAATTGTGGTAAAATTAAGCAACAGGTTAAGATTCATATTGCTGCCAAGGAGTGTAGACTATTTCTTAATGGATACATTCAATTACTGATGGGAAACTCAGTGTTCTCTGCATAAGTCATACAGAACTACACAGAGGTCGTGACCTTAGGCGTGGCTTCAGACACCAGCTGGATGTAAGCTTTTGCATGGAAATGTTGGCCACCGGTCTTTAGTTTTAAGGTTTGACGACATTTTACATGCGACCCTTAACAATCAGCCCATTGTTTTACTTGTAGTTTCACGACAAGATCAACCAGATCCTTGAGAGCCTGGAGCGCATTGTGGAGCGTCTGAGGCAGCCACCGTCCATCTCTGCTGAGGTTGAAAAGATCAAGGAGCAGATTGGCGAAAATAAGAGTGTGTCTGTGGACATGGAGAAGTTGCAGCCACTGTACGAGACCCTGCGGCAGAGGGGGGAGGAGATGATTGCCAGGTCTGAGGGCGCCGAGAAAGACATATCTGCCAAAGGTATCAGTTTCAGAGTGATAAAACAAACTCGGCTCTCCTTTATTTTGTTTGTTTGGTTGATTTATCTTATTTTATAGGGTCTCTCCCTCTTATGTAGTGCTGGCTGGCCTGGAACTTGCTGTGTAGGCCAGACTGACCTCAAACTCACAGAGACCCATCTGCCTGTACCACACCAAGTACCAGATGTGCCGCCACCCACAACCTCACCTTCACTTTCAGAACGGCTCTAGATTGTATGCTGTTCACTGCCACTCTGACTGCTTAACAAACTGCCAGGTCTCTGAAAAGCTTTCACAGTGATGTGTCACTGTACAAAGGTCCTTTGATGTCTTCCTCTATTTGAAATCAAGTGGTTGAAGACAAACTGTGTTAATATACAGACCACGTACTCTCTGAACCTCTGAGGCTCTCAGACTAAAGTTACTGATGATAAGCCAAAGCTGGGGATACAGTTGTGGTGTCTTATCTAGCATGCCTACTCCATCCCATAACCACCAGAATGGTAACCATAGCCACTCATATTAGAGTTGTGATCTATGAGTCAAAGGAAGGGTTGTATATTCCAAAAGCAAGTCAGAAGTACAAATCCTAGTCCTATTCCTGGGACTGAATAAGCAGTTTCATCTTTGGAGAGCGTAAGAAGGCATATCCTAGGTTAGTTATGTACTATCTTTGGGATTAAGGCCAGCTTCACAAACTTAAAGCTTGGTAAACTTGGGTCTTCTCGAGCTCATGTGGCTTTAGAACACCTAGCTTTGTAGGGAAAAGTCTGGGTTCAGCCAGAGCAGACCCATAGATTTTTGCCTTGTGTGGGGAAGGTTCGGGCCCAGGGATAACGCGTAGACTACAGTTGGTGAAAGCCCCCGTCTGTCTGTTCTATGTATTTAGTAAATCGCTGTGTGAGCTAAGGTTTTGCTTTTGCTTAAATGAGGATAACCAGCATCTTCGCTGTGTAGCTGTGCAGGATAAGTTGGACCAAATGGTCTCCATTTGGGAAAACATACACACCCTGGTAGAAGAAAGGGAAGCCAAACTGCTGGATGTCATGGAGCTGGCAGAGAAGTTCTGGTGTGACCACATGTCACTGGTTGTCACCACGAAAGACACTCAAGATTTCATCAGGGACCTGGAAGATCCAGGGATCGACCCCTCGGTAGTAAAACAGCAGCAGGAAGCAGCAGAGGTAAGGAGCAGAACTCATTTCAACCAAATGAATCAAACAAACAAACAAACGATGAAGTTCGGTATGATAACACCCCGGTTCCATATGTGACTGAAAAATTACGCTGTTAAAAAAAAATCTGTGTTTGGTTCTGAACATGGGATGTGCAGTGAGTGCCAAGGTAACAGTGGACATGCAGGTCTCACCTGGAGATTATTCCTAAACTCACCTGTCTGCATCTGCGCTGCTCATGCTAGATCCCAAGGCACAGGGTGTCTGCCCGCGAGAGCCTCTAACGGTCTTCCTGTCGCTGTCCCTCAGGTGCCCCCCCCCTCGTCTGCTGGGTAACCAGCCCTGCCTTTGCAGGGCAGGGTATGCAGCTTTGTACACACCAGCTGGTGCCCGTGTAGCCACGGGCACCCTCCTGCCATTTCTCCACCTCTGTGCTCTCTTCTTAGTGTCTGCCGCGCCTGACACACGCAGTCTCCTTGCCTTTCTGCCGCCACTGTGATTGGCTTCGGGAGTTGGTTAGATTCTCACCCACCCCATAGGATTTCTTTTCTCCTGTATTTACCTGAACTACAGGCTGGGCTGTGGGCCCCTGGAGAAGGCTAGGCAAATATTTCCATTTCCACTGTTGGGTTTAGGGCTTTGTTCATGCATATTAAATATTCATTGCTGAGTGGGTGTGTTTAGCCACGACGGTGAAAGTCGAGGTAGGATACTTCATTTCCTTTGTCATCAGTTGACAGGTGGCACCTGGGTGATAACCAGAGCTAGGTTAGCTTGGGTTTCCCAACAGATACCTTACTTTGCGTAAAATCTTTGTGCTCATGTTTAGCTGGCATCTATTTTAAACACATGCAGGCAAACTAGTTGTGTAAAACAAAACGTCTTCTAGTGCTCTGCTGTATCGGGGGTATTTTTCTCTCTTTTGTTTTCTTGCTAAGGAAATGGCTATGTGAACTTGGGAAATAAAAGAAAACAAAGTGATGCTAGTGTCCCTACGGGCTAGGATCCCTACGGGCAGCTCTGTGTGACATCTTTCCTTGGTTTTGGTGTGGTTTCCCATGGTGTTCTGAGGCTCTCTTTTTTAATTCTAGGCAATAAGAGAGGAAATTGATGGACTGCAAGAGGAGCTAGACATGGTCATCACCTTGGGCTCTGAGCTCATCGCTGCGTGCGGGGACCCTGATAAGCCCATTGTCAAGAAAAGTACAGATGAGGTGTGCCAGTGACTTACCTTCTGCTCTCGAAAGAGCGCCTTTCTCAAGACTTAGCAAACTAATAGCCAAGGTCATAAATTTGAAACTCAACGGAGCTTAACATTTGTTTTGTAGTTAAACTCAGCCTGGGACTCTCTGAATAAAGCTTGGAAAGACCGGGTGGACAAACTGGAAGAGGCCATGCAAGCTGCCGTTCAGTACCAAGACGGATTGCAGGTGAGGCTGCCACGCCCGCTGACCTAAGCTGGAAACAGGAATCTTGTTCATTGATGTACATTTACGGTTTGGTACCAACCCAACCCTGTGAGTTTGGGTGCAGCTACAGACAAATCTATCCCTGTAATTATCAGAGCTGCTTTATCTCAACCTTTATAGAAGCTGTTCCCTCACCTTTGAGACATAAGGGTTTCTGTGTACATGTAAACATGGGTTTGTACACACATCAGTGGAATTTACTTTGAATAGAAGTAGTCTTAATCTTTTTTTTTTTTTTTTAATCAAAAGTAAATATTCCCACACAGTATTTTTCAAAAATTGTTGAGCTCCAGGCAGTGAAGTGACATGGAACAGAGTCTGAGTTCTGCTCTAAAGTTGAGTGAAATAAGATGAAAGGAATAAACACGGGCTAAAAATATCACCAAGTTTAACTGAAGTCAGAGCTAGAGGGCTGATGCGAAGCCAGTGTTTTCTCTGTTTGCTAAAATAGATTTTCATTTTATTGGCTCATAACTGGGTGTGTTAAGGTGCTTTTTTTTATTTTCCATGTATATGATTATTATAGTAGTTGTTTCTCATGTCTTTTCAAGTTTCCCATTCAGTTCATTAGCCAGATAGGAGCTGTTTTTTAATATTAAAATTCTCTTGAGGCCAGCTCAGGAATATTTATTCCCTCCCTTCCTTGCTTTCTTCCTCCCTCCCTCCCCTATTTCCTAACAGGTTGGCAGGAGTTTAATCTTCCATACTCCTTACCACATGGAAAAACCCTCTCTTAAGTATTTCCATGACACTTAAGTGAATATTCTTTTTAAAGCTCACATGAGAACATTTTGTTTTCCTTTTTCATTATGCCACTTCATCCTATGTTTATAAAAATAAGTATCACCAGCCAGGCTTTACCTCAGCAGAATGGGTTTTGAACTTTGGAGATACATGAAATTCTTCATGACATACAATACCTGTTATAACTCCCGTACATGCGTGTACACTTGCACACGCACCCCACCCCCAAGCAAAGTAATGATTTCTTGCTTAAATAACCAGTGTCCAGTGATAGTCACATTGGGCTCCCTGTCCTGTGTGAGGCTGGGTCATAATGGCAAGTCTTTTGAGTGACATTGTCTTCCATGGCTAGAGATGGTACTGCTACTGTGTGAGGTCACCTGAGAGCCATGGACGAGGCACCATGATTTGACACACACTCCTCGCCAACAGTGAGAAACAAGATCCATCATAGGTCCTGTTGCTCATGAATGGCAACTTGGGTTACCAAATGGCTGTAGCTATATTATGGTGCTAGGTACTCCATAAGGTTCGAGGCTTGATTATAAGGCGAGATACATTTTCTATCCCAAGTTGCTGCTTAAGTAATTAGGGTTGGTTAATGACCATTTAAATATAACAGATAGTTTATAAGATTTCTCTTCTTCTGCCAACTTCATTAAAATGTAAAATAATTCTGTTATATGTTCATTACTTTAAAAAAAAAAAAAGTGTGCTAAGCCTTTGTAGAATGTGTAGAAACCTAGAAAGAATATGGAAAGTAACAGGCTCTGAAGTCTGTTGCAATACACGATGATGGTAGTATTAGTCACCTGTGTGCGAGGGATTTTAATGTTTATCTAGGTAGTACAGGAAGTTTGGATGAAGCCTCTTGGTTATTTGAAAAAGTAGATACATTTGGGCCTTTATCTTTCAGTGTATTTTTATATAAGCAAATGGGAATGTTCACTTTTATGATTGAATACATAAGCTTTTCTTTGAAAGTGCTTGATAGTTTAAGAATAGGATTTCAGCTTTGGTGTAGAATTGGAGGTGACATTTGCTTGATATTTGAGAAGCTGTTTTATATTAAGGCTTTCATTCGGGTGAATAAAAGTTCATTTAGTTTTATGTAGTGGGCGCCTCTCATAATTTCTTCTAGTTATTGCCTTTCCCTGTAACACAAGCCATTTCGGAGCTACTGTTGTAACACGGGGGAAATGTATCTTTCAGGCAATATTTGACTGGGTTGATATCGCAGGCAATAAGTTAGCCTCAATGTCTCCAATCGGGACGGATCTTGAGACTGTCAAGCAGCAGATTGAAGAGCTGAAGGTATGTGTGGGGCTCCTGATTGGTAAAGAACTGCCTGTATTGTTAGGTTACTGATCCACCACATTTCTCACTGACGCTTATTTAGTTTACACTGTTAAAACATTATACATTGACTTCAGAATTGTGCTATTTCTATTCCATACATTTGTTTATGTGGGTGTTTTCGTTTGCACACAAGGGTGCTACACATGTAAGGAGGGCAGAGAACAACTTGTGGTCCACAGCTCTCTCCTTCCACCATGAGGATCCTGACTTGGTAGCAAATACCTATCCCCACTGAGCTGTTTCACAGGCCCTACAACTCTGTCAGAATGATAGCTACACGTAGTAAGTTTAGATGAATGTTTGTTTTAAAACGTAAAAGATTTTATTTTAATTAATTCCTATTCTTTATAAAATTACAAATAAGCAAAAAAAAAAAAAAAAAAAAAGGGGGGGGGGACGACAAGATTTGTAACTCACTCCAAAAGCTGTAAGCTTAATAGCAACTATGCCTAGGATTTGATGGACAGCCCTTCAGATACTCTCGTATCTTAATGGAGGGTATGTGTGTGTGTAGAGGGGAGAGCAAAAATGGAGGGCCAATAGTCTCGTGCTACTGAAACTTTCGTAATGTACCTTGTTATTCCGTAGTCTATTAGTGAAAGGATATATTGCTGTAACATTAGCCGATAATTAACATCAGAGATTCACGTAAATATTTTCTATTGTTGATAAAATGTTGGTTGGCAAAACAAAGGCCATGAAGTGCCTGTCAGTCACATAAGAAAGGCCAAGGCAAAGGGTGTTGTTCTAAAGCCATATATGATGGCTCAGGTCTGAAGTCCCTGTACTAGTGAGGCTGAGTTGAGAATATTGCCTTGGGTTTGAGACAAGCTTAAGCAAAAATAGTGGTAAAGGGCCACCCAGAGCTACACAGCAAGGCCCTTTCTTACTAGTGGTGATAATAATAATACTTATAACTTATTTTGTATCCACAGTGAGATATAGAAATAATTATTAATGACCATAAAGCAGCTGTAAAAACATAAAAACTATGAGGGATTTCAAATGTATGCTTTTTTGAGAACAGGAATTACTAAAATTCTTAAAGCCACTGTTTTCTGGGGTTCCATATACGTTAATATAAAATCATGAAATATAAAATGCAATATAAGATGTAAGAAGTTTTTCCACGGGAATTATTGGATTTTACTGCACAGAATAAAAATGAAACACCAAAAATTGTAACTGTCCATAAAACATCCAATAAAAGGTGGGAAACTTCTGCCTCTTTTTCTCTCAGTAGGAAATGTGAATTGTAGAATATTTTCAGTTTAAGGTCACTGGTTTGTTTTTTTTTTTTTTTTTTTTCTTTTCTCTTCAATGTTTTATAGCAATTTAAGTCAGAGGCTTACCAACAACAGATAGAAATGGAAAGACTGAACCATCAAGCGGAACTTTTGCTGAAGAAAGTAACAGAAGGAGGTGACAGGCACACTGTTCAGGACCCGCTGATAGAGCTGAAGCTGATATGGGACAGCCTGGATGAGAGGATTGTCAGCAGACAGGTGAGGGCCCAGACGCCACCCGTGCACACTCTCAGGCAGTAATATCAACAAACGGCCACTGAGAACCATGTCAGCAGTTAATACCAATGACCTTTAGCGGCATCTAAATTATCTTGTTAAAGTTCTCCCGTGTGTGTGTGTGTGTGTGTGTGTGTGTGTGTGTGTGTGTGTGTGTGAGATATATATATATATATATATATATATATATATATATATATATATATATATCTCAAACTAGAGTTGTTGACTGATAGGACTAAATTCGTAAGCCGTGAGGGAGGACTTGGGCGATGCTGAACAGTTGGTGTTCTGCAAGCTCACAGCCTCTGTGATGTGAGATTCCGAGTGGATCTTCTCTGCTTCTCCACAGCACAAGCTGGAGGATGCTCTCTTGGCTCTGGGTCAGTTCCAGCACGCCCTGGATGAGCTCCTGGCATGGCTGACTCACACCAAGGGCTTGCTGAGTGAGCAGAAGCCTGTTGGGGGAGACCCGAAGGCCATTGAAATTGAACTCGCCAAGCATCACGTATGTACTGTTACGCGCCTGTTATTGTTATGTTTGAGTTTTCCCAAGTTTACGATTTCAGCAGAGATTACTTGGCATTAAGTTGCTCGAAATGTGCTGCCTACGAGAACAATAAAAATATTTTCTCACTGTGTGGGGCAACAATTACCAAATGCAGCCAGGCTGTGTTTTAACAGGGCTGCGTAACACATGCCAAAGACTGAAATCCCTCATTATATCTGTCACTGAGTTAACTTCCTACATTTTCTAAGGTTGTAGGGAATAGCCTAAAAAGTTCCAGACTGAAAATGCTGTTGGTCTGCCATGGCTTTTAATGCCTCTGGTCCCCCGAATAGCAGTTGCCCGCCAGAATGACTCTCCATAAAAACAAAGTGTGTTTGTTCCCAAAGTGTGAGTGTGCAGAAGCATTTAGGTCGTAGGAAATCTGTCTGTTGTCTTAAAAGTAGCCTGCACCAGTGATCAGAACTGTGTGTAATAGAGGTAGAAAATAAGACAACCAACCCCATCGTTCCGCCAGGGGATCTTTGGAAACTTCACTCTCTTTGTCTGAGAAGTTAGAGATGGCTTTTTTGTCCTTCTCCCTTCATTTTGAGAGACCCATATGTAGTGACTTGGGATTGCCAATGCTGAAATGAGGCTCTAGCCCCCGCTTGCTGTCTCCCTCTGCCTCTGAGTATTAGGGGAAGGAATTTTATAGGATTGTCCTGTCAGTGTGGACAAGGCAGGATTTAACTCTCCGGCCTTGAGGAAGTGTTTGCTGCTGTTACCGCGCGCGTCAGAGTGCCTGCCTGCCAGAGCTTGACTCCTCACTCAGTTGGGTTGGTGCCCTTGGACAACAATGACCCGTCATCGGATACCTCAAAAACTGATTGAATAGTCAGAAAGGCAGTACTCTGGGGGGCTGCCTCCCTTATCTTGAGAGCCTCCCTGGTCTGGTCTGGTCTGGACTCCCCTCCAGATGTGTGATGTCTTGCATAGGATAAGTGATGATGTTCTTCTTTATTACTGCCAGGCATGCATCGGTAAGGGGCAGGGCGGGGCTTTACTGACCTCTTAACTAACATAAGGGAAAGGACTCCTTTCAAATTAGTAGTCCTAGCTTCCCTTCAGTGAGAGAATACAGGAATGCATTTCTCCTTTCAAAACAGCAATTATAAAATATACGTCTTAGGAATGTGATAATTTTATGTTTGGGAAATGAATGCAAAGGAGTAAAAATACCCCTTAAAACATTAAGATTAAATTACAATGGACGTGAGTCAATGAAAATGTTTTAGTCATCTAATTATAATCCCTACGAAAGTATATAGTGCATTAGTTTGCAAGGTCATTCTAGGAAGAATAACTGTCAGCTTTTGGACAGTCTCTTTGGGACTGCTGGTGTATCTAACTAAAGGAGTATCTGTCGAGGAAGCCCCAAAGTTGAAGGAAAGGGAGTCTGTCACTTACAACTTGCTATTAAAACTTTTGTTTGTTTGTTTGTTTCACAACCAGAAAATAAAGCAAGTACCATGGACTAGAAGTGCGATTCAGTTGCTAGGGTCCTAGGTTTGACCCCTCGGAGGTGCCTAAAACTAAATGTGGTATCCCACACCTGTATTCCTGGCATTTGGGAGGTGGGAAAAGGATTGGAAGGTCAAAGTCATCCTTAGCTTTGTGTTGAGTTCAAGGTTTGCTTGGGATACATGAGACCCTCTCCCTGCCAAAAAAGAAAGGAAAAGAAAAAAAAAAAAAAAAAAAGAAAGAAAGAAAGCATTGTAAGTACCATTACTCTGTTTGCCGCTAACGATGGTATTAACATTTTCAGGTGCTCCAAAATGACGTTCTAGCCCACCAGTCCACAGTGGAAGCTGTCAACAAAGCAGGAAACGATCTGATTGCATCCAGTGCGGGAGAAGAAGCAAGCAACCTCCAGTACAAGCTCAAAATCTTAAATCAACGCTGGCAGGATATTTTGGAAAAAACAGATCAAAGGAAGCAGCAGCTGGATAGTGCCTTGCGCCAGGTGAGTGGAGACGTCGCTCTGGTGTTCAAGTCCCAAGTCATGTGGGTTGGCCTCATTAGTTCACAGTTGGATGTTTCGTGTTAATAATTTAAAATAAGAGGAGTAAAAATAAATGGGATAAAGAGTAGAGCCTATGAGAAGGCGGCGCCCCAGTTCTTAGCATAATACTCTTATGCCCTGAGCTCTCTTGATGGGGCGCTCAGGCAGTGAGCCGCTGGTCCTGGTGCCTGGCTCTCTCTAGGGCCGCCGTTTTGACCTCGCTGGAAAGTGATAGTATTTGTGACAGGAGCCTAAAAAGTACCTATCACTGCAGGCCAAAGGGTTCCATGGTGAAATCGAAGATTTGCAGCAGTGGCTGACAGATACAGAGCGTCACCTCTTGGCATCCAAACCCCTGGGAGGTTTGCCAGAAACAGCCAAGGAGCAGCTTAATGCACATATGGTATGTACAGTATTTTCTACAGCTCTCGCCCTGGGAATGCGTATAAATAGTGATGGACGAAGATACAGTTAAAAAGATTAAGTTTTGTGGCAGAAATCACTCTGTGTAAATGCTAAGAACAGTACCATTTAGCAATGGAAATATGTTTAAAGGACTCTAGCAGTTTTGAGTAACATATTCTCTCTCTCTCTCTCTCTCTCTCACACACACACACACACACACAAACACACACACACACACACCAAGTTATAAGTAGTATGAGAGAACATCTCTAAAGTTATCAGACTACATAATTGGCATATGCCTATAACCCTATGGTTTGGTGTTGCTGTTTGTGCCTGGGTGACAAAGTAGTCTTACCTACTGCTTTGTGACCTAAGAATGCTTATCTTTGTGAAGACCCGTGAGTGACTTGGTAGCTCAATGAACTCAAAATAGTTTTCATGACTTCCCTGAGAATGGTTGCATAGCTCCCACATAGTTCATAACTTATATAGTAATTAATGATTACTTCTAATCTTCAGAATATTATACTTTAAAATTATATCTTGAAAGCAGAGAGCTGTCTTAAGAACTTTCAGAGAACTACTATGAATAAAATACTTAGTTTGTGTGGGATACATACAGTGAACTCTGTATAACCCATATGGTTTCTGTGACTGTAAATTCCGTGTTTTAAAAGAGAAAGAAAAATCTGAAGAGGGCCTAGAACAAATAACCCACCAGTAAAGAGTGTTTACTGCTCTTGCAGAGGACCAGGGTTCCTGTAATCCCAGCGCCTGCACGAGAGCTCACAACCACCTGTAACCCTAGTTCCGGGGTATCAGACACCACCTTCTGCCCTGCTTAGGTACCTGCTCAGATAGCGTGCACATGGACCCACACTTGTTCACTTAATTTAAAAATTAAGCTGGACATGGTGGCGGGTGCCTTTAATCCCAGCACTGGGGAGGCAAATGCAGTTGGATCTCTGTGAGTTCAAGGCCAGCCTGGTCTGCTCCTTGAGTTTCAGGACAGGCAGAGCTAGACACAGAAATTCTGTCTCGAAAAACCAAATAAATAAGTAAATCTTTTCTAGCAGATTCTGAAGCTATTATGCCTTAGCAGTAGTTTTCCTAGAACTGAAGAACAAACTGTGGAGTACTCATATCCCAGAGCTGCTGTAGGATTTAATGCTCTTTTAAAAATGATACTGTAAATGTCCTTCATTTCTTTTTTTTTTTTTTAATGTGCTTTTTTCTAAGGATGAAGAAATCAAGTTTTGAGCTGACAAAAGTGTAGTTAGTAAGCATTGTAAACTACTCAGGCACTAAATGGTGTTCTTCAAATGGTTAATTTTATAAAGTTTACCTTGATTTTTTTTTTTAAAAAAATTATTAAGTTGAAAATATCAGTAAGATGTACTGTGTATCACTTTCAGTCAGAACTGTGATTCAACCCACATTATAATTCAGTGTGATAAAAATTGAATTTTAGCCATTGTTTCATTGGTGTTATACTCTAAATTTTAGGAATATTTTTCTGTAGTCACCATAGAGGATTTACACCGCATTCTTATTGCAACTTTTAAAAATCTATAGGTGAAAATGGTATCTCAAATGTGGCTCTAGTACTCTGGTAATCTTTGCATCAACTGCGTGTCTCTTGATTTTCTGTCCATCACATGTTTTCTGAGTACAGGATTAAACTGTACCAATAATTTTTTTTTTTTTTTTTTTTTTTTTTTTGGTTACTTTGACATGGCAAAAAGGACATAGAAATTTCTGTCCGTTTACAGAGGAATTAAATCGCTGGCCCAGCATCTCAGATCTCAGTTATTACTGTACAGTGAGACCTTTCTAGACAGCATGCTAGTTACTGCTTTAGGCCTTAGCACGCAGCATGGAGTGATGGATTATTCAGTAGACAGGGTGTGGCTGTAAGCATAGCTTCTGTTTCAGTGTTGAGTAGAGTGCAGCTCTCTGTCAGGGCTGCTCTGTAAGCCAGAAAGAGGAACGATGTGGGGCTTAAAATGGACGGACCTTAAAAAAATATATACAACTCTGGGGCCTAAGGCTCAGTGGTTAAGAGCACTCATTGGTCTCACTGAGGGCCCAGATCTAGTTCTAAGCACCTACATGACAGTGCATAATAATCTATAACTTCGGGTCCCTGGGAACCTGACACCCTCAACCCCTTCTACCCTCCATGGGCACCAGGTATGCACACGGTATACAGGCAAATAAAACATTCATACACATTACAAGTAAATCTTTAAAAAAAAAATGTAACTATTCTTTGGCGAGGAGGATTATGACACCAGGGCCTCTCATTTTAGGAAGTGTGCTCTGCCTTCAACATCAAAGAAGAAACATACAAGAGTCTGATGCAGAAAGGGCAACAGATGCTCGCAAGATGTCCCAAATTTGCAGAGACAAATATTGACCAAGACATAAACAACCTGAAAGAGAAATGGCAGTCTGTGAAAAGCAAGCTCAACGAGAAGAAGGTATGTGCACTGATCAGCAACAACAGAGCAGTGTTAAGCGTGCTGTTAGTTCTTGGGTTGTGTCTTATTCCTAGCTATCATGATACGTGTCCAAATTTCTTTATGCACTTGGTGTTTCATGAAGTTAAACATGGTATTCTAACCAAAGAGACAGGGGTAAACTACGGATAAAGATTAATCCCAGGTCAGGTGTTACTCCGACAGTTTTTAAAATATGAATCACTTGAGTACTAGGTTATAAATAGTTATATTCTGATCACAAATAAAACAAAAAGAGGATGATACGGTTGTGCTTAGGTTTTATAATCGCTCACGTAAAACTTTCAAACAATAGGAAAATAATCTAGGAAATCTCTATAATTTTGCTTAATGTAACAACAACAACAACAAAAAAACAACAGGCTAATAGATTATAGGCCGTCACGATGGGTATACCGTGTGTTCTCACACGGCAGTGACCCAGACAGGAAAGTCAGTTGATCTATCTGAAACATAGTAAGCAAACTACGAGTACCAAACTCTAAACCATCTTCTTTCACAGACTAAGCTGGAAGAGGCCCTCCACTTGGCAATGGACTTCCACAACTCCCTCCAGGACTTCATCAACTGGCTTACCCAGGCCGAACAAACCCTGAATGTGGCTTCTCGGCCAAGCCTTATCTTGGACACAATCTTGTTCCAAATCGATGAGCACAAGGTACATGGGAACTCAGATGGGAAGCGCTGACTTCGTGTCAGAAGCTCCAGTTTAATAATTTGAAAATCTTTTTCCTGTGTTCTTTAACTGGGGCATGGAGACAACCGTACACTCTTAATACAGCCAGTCCACCCACCTCCCCTTGTTCTCCGATTAAAGGTCTTCGCCAATGAAGTGAATTCTCACCGCGAGCAGATAATAGAGCTGGACAAGGCTGGAACCCACCTGAAGTACTTCAGCCAGAAACAAGATGTGGTGATCATCAAGAACCTGCTCATCAGCGTGCAGAGCCGGTGGGAAAAGGTGGTCCAGCGGTTAGTGGAGAGAGGGCGGTCCCTGGACGACGCAAGGAAGAGGGCCAAGCAGGTAGTAAACATGGGTAACGTTCTCTGGCCCTGGCAGTCAGTGGTGTGACCGTACGTCTTTTATCGCAGGCTGTGTTCTGTAACAATGCGGAGCCATGGTGTCCTGTCCCTGAAAGGGCGACGGCTTTGCCTTTCGACTCTTGACGTCACCTTTTTTTGTCCCAGCAGCCACACTGGGCCATGGGGACTCATGTTGAAAAGCTATAAATAGCCCAGCTTCATAGATTATCATCAAGGCGAACTAAGAAGTTATAAATTTTTTGTTTCACAGTATGTTGAGTTTTCCCCTTGTCCTTTCAACCCCTATTCTACTCAGACAGGGCACCAGACCCTCTTATTATGTGGCTAACTCTAAGCCAAATTTCCTTCGCATCAGAGCTGAGGACCAGACCTACCGCCCTCCCCAGTACTTTCCGAGGGACACATTCTTGTTGGGTATTCCTCTCTTCCTAGGCTGCTTATTAGCAGCCTTCATTTCTTCCCAAAGATTTTGGTGTAGCTCCATCTCACTTGAAGTTAATTATCTGGACCTCCGGAGGCTGTTTTTAGTTTAGTTTAGGGACTCTCACAAACATCACCGAGAGCTCTCCATTCTCTCTCAACCTGTTATTAACTAACATTCATCAGAACTAACCACAGACAGGAGGAAAATTACACATCTTTCTGCCCTGTGTGGATGTAGCCACTATATTTGGCAGAGAAATTTTTAATTTTTATTTTTTTTTTAACTAGAAACTTAATGTAATGTTGAGGCTGAATTTTGTGATTTCTACCTTTGCATAATTCAGCTCCTGTTGTCTGGCATTTGGTAAAGTTGGTGTGTGTTGTTTGGAGAGCTAGGCTCACTGGGTGATGCCGAAAGGTATTTACAGGAGTCTAGCATTTTGGTGTTTGAAGTCAGCAGTGTGAATTTAAAGACTTTAGAAATGTCTCAAGCCCTTTCTGAGTGAGAACGGGGACACCTTCACTGTCAGTCTCTGAAACAGAATCGGACTGTAATGATTCTGTTAGACAATATTAATTCTGAACCTGACCCATTGCCCTCCATGGGTATTTCTCAAGTTATGGACAGCTAATTTCCAAAGGCTTGTTGAATGCTAGTAGCTGCTTGACGTCTCTCCTTTCTCCATGTGACCAATGTTACCGTTTTGGTTTGTTACCTCGCTTTCTATTTTCCTATTTCCAGTGCAAATGGATAGTTAGTGTTTCACCCTGTTTCCATGGCTTAAGCATAGCTTGGGAGGTTGGGTGAGCTTCAGAGCCCAAGCCTGTATTTGCGCCACTCCACAGCCTAGCTCCTCCCACACCTCCACACCTGGTGTTTTTTGTTTGTTTGTTTTTTGTTTGTTTGTTTTTTTTTTGAGCCAAACACCCTAGCACCTCGTCAGACTGTTCCTTCTGCCTTTTCTCTTCTGAGTTTTGACTCATGTACTGATTGTAGCGCTCTGGCTTTGATCATCCTGTGCCCCCCCTTTTTTTCCATCACATTTAAATTGATCGGCGGTATGTAAGGGATGCGCTGGGCAGGGAGGCCAAGTCTGCAGTAAGCTGCAGTCTAGTGCACTCTTGCGGCTTGTGATTCCGTGATCCTCATGCTGCTATGGTCACGCAGCTTTCATCCCTTCATTCATTATTGGTGTGTTTGGGCATACAGGGGGAGTCTTACTCCGATTTCTTCAGCTTTTGTTACACGGTTCTTCATTTAAATGTATTCTAAGACATCCATGTACCCACTTTCATAGCTGTATCTGATTGCTCTTCTGGGAGATAAACTGGGCTGGAATCAAACATGTGCTGAGCCAGGATGTTTCCAAGGTCCTGGTTGGCAAACAGAACTAAACTAGCAGGGCAGTAGTTGTGCATATCAGGCCACAGAGGGTGGGTCGGCTCCGCGTCGGCGCCGCGTGGGGCTCTGAGAGCAGAGGTTAGGGTGTTAGGCTGCCTCCTGTATTAAAGAGGAGATGGCCTTTTTTCATCCTTGCCACGTTTAAAGAGTAATTCACAAGGACTGTATTCCTTTTATTTCTTTCTCTTTACATAGGAATTTAGCACAGAAAAATGTCAAGATATGTAAAGAGTCCAAGAAACAAAGCAGACATTTTCTGAGAGTTTGTGTTAAGTATTGAGCAAAAGGAGGCAGTGTGTGTGGTGGGGGGGGGGAGGGGACTCCTTAACTGTCTGGCTCTTTCCTGGACTCCATAAACTGGTGTACTGACTGAATGACCTCAGGCCACAGCCACGTGTGTCCGGTGTGGCCGAACCCATCTGTCTCCAAGGGAACGTTTGAATTGGTTACTTTCAGTGCGGCCCTCGGTGACCATTTCTGTTTTAGAATACGCACTATACCTTGCAAGCTTCACAAGTCTCTGACCCAGCGTGCATCTCTTTACCAGTTCCATGAAGCTTGGAGTAAACTAATGGAGTGGCTGGAAGAGTCAGAAAAATCTTTGGATTCTGAACTGGAAATCGCCAATGATCCAGACAAAATAAAAACACAGCTGGTACAGCACAAGGTGAGCGTCTCGTTTCAAAAGCACACTCAGCGTGCATTTCAAGACTAATTCTTTCTTGTCCCCGTGTGTCTTCCTCACAGTCTAGGACAGTGGTTCTCGGCGTGTGGGTCCCGACCCCTCCGGGGTCAAATGACTCACAGGGATGGCCTCAGACCATTGGGAAACACCGCGTTTGTGTTACGATTTAGATCCACTTGGGCACGGCATGTCGGCTTCTCGTGGCAGCTCTCTTACCTTATTCTTTAGTGGAACAGTCCCACCTTGGGGGTAAACCTGAACTATAGTGTGCATAGGGCCAGTGGTGTGGACCGTTAGTCCCAGCCTTCTGGGAAACTGAGGCAGGAGTAGCCAGGCTGGGTAACATAGTGACCTTGTCTCATAAATATAAGTAAGCAGATCCTTCTAAACAGAGGCGTGGGAAAAGTTGACTGACACTATCCAAGAACTGTTATGTGGCGGTATGGCAGTGTAAAAACTCCATTCCTTCTCTCAAAGAAAGAGTTGTCAGTTTCTCCGAGACTAGAAGAATGTAGAAAGTGTTAAAAAAAATTTCCCTTTAATACTCTATCACCTTTGTATTATAAATCGCCTCTGTATTATAAAGTGGTCGCTGGTCCTACAGGTGAAGGTGTAGGGTCAGCAGCTCAGCCTGAATACTGTGGACAGTTTTACAATTCCAGACCTCCACATGGAAATCACTGCTTAGAACGTGGCGATTCTGAAAGACTGGGAAACGGTATTTATGATTTGTTTTCTTCAGAAGAGCCTAGAACATGGTCTTCACATGTGTTCTGGGAAGTCACCGAGAGGGTCGCGACCTGAGGATGATGGGAGGAAGCACATGTGCCCTCGGACTAGGCGAGGTTTTATGATCAGCTGGCCTCTTCCTGTGAGCTGCCCCAGTGGCCAGCATCACCCGTACTCCTCTGGTGGAAAAATTAGTGCCCCGCTCAAAATAATCTCACAAAAATAACATTGCATTTCAAAGTTAGAGAAACCCAGGAATGTAGCTCAGAGTTTTACATCTTGCAGGCAACAGGAAGTTGACTGAGACAATGGGAGGTATCCTGAACATGGGAAACCTCAAAGCCCGCCCTCACAGTGATTCATTTCCTCCAGCAAGGCAAGATCCACTCCGACAAAGCCACACCTCCTGATAGTGCCGCTCCCCATGAGTTTATGGGGACCAGACCACTCTGCTGCAGCACCATAGCTATTTGATCCTGGAAAAGCAATCCAACCCTCTTTTAAGACTATACAGCTGGGGAGAGCAGAGAAAGGTCTGTCCGTCCCAAATGGTCAGACCCTAGAGTGGCAGCTCTGACCTCCTGGCTCACAGACAAAATTACCCATGTTCTTATTGTGAATATCCGAACTAAGTAACAACAAGGGTGTCTGTCTGATGACAGCAGAAACCTGAGGTAGAATTACATCATCTAATCACCCTGCCCAGGCTAGACTCCCGCAGGTGTGGCCATGCTTTCCTCTCTGTCACCGATCGGCAGGTCCATTTTCATCACAGTTATTACAGAATCTTGTGGCTTATGTCTCCAGAAGTACTTGAGCTGGGGACGTAGTAGCTCCATGATCGAGTGCTTGCCTACCATGCACAAGGCCCTGGCTTCAGAAATCTCCACCACCACCACCACCACCACCCCCCACACACACACACAAAGAGAAGATGTAGGACTTGTTTTTGTTTGAAATTGTCTTCTGGATAATAGCACATGCTCTTAGGGACGCCAAGCTTCTAAGAGTAGGTGTAGGCTTTAGGATTGCTCTTCTGTGCTGGGCTGTCTGTCCCTGCATAGAGAACACTGCTGCGCCTCAGGCTTGATTGCCTGCGGGTGACTTCCGTTGCCACGCCTCCGTTTGTTAGATGCCTCCTTAAAAGAAAATGGTCTGTCTTTTGGTAGTTTCAAACATTTTTACAACAGTACATTCTGGTCGCATTTACATCTTCGCCTTTGCTCACCGTCCTCGAACCCCCACCCCCACCCCAACCCCATACCCATCCCTCCTCCCACCAAGTCTCCTTCACACTTTTTCGTTCTGGAGAGTGTCCCTCCCCTACCAATAACTCCCCTAGGTCGGGGTAGGCCTCATGGGCCCCGCCCCACCTATGACTAAATATTTACATTGTGGGGTTTCGCCTTGTGCGGATCCTGGATAAGCAACTGCGGCCGCTGTGGGTTTTATGCACACCATGGCTTTGCATGCCCGTAAGGCAATGAATGTTTCATGGCCCTCTTCCCCATTATCCAACTCTTACATTCTTCCTGCCCTCTCTTCCACAATTTTTTGGGGAGGCTTGGAGAGAGTCATATGCAGCTTCCATGCTGCAAAACCAAGGTGCCAGGCAAAGTGTGTCTTCTGGTGCAGTGGCGGCGTAACTGTTACGGGAGTAACCAGCTGAGCTGAGATTTGATACGAGGTCTCTTCCTGTGGATCTGGTCACAGACCCACGGCTCGGGAGGTCACCGGCAAAAGAACATACTACCTTTGCTTCATTAAACGGGCATGTCAGAATGCCTCCTTGATCTTTATATTTATACCCGAAGGGTCGTGGTGGCCCTCACCCTTGAGTAGAGAAGCTTCTCTTCACGGTGAATTAATGCGGTTAGTTAATGCGGAGACTGATGGCTGGTCTTGACGATGAGAACAAATGACTGAACGCCCAGACTTAAACAGAATCCTGCTTTTAACGCCTTCTACCTGCCAGTAAACAAACAGTTCCAAGCCGAAATTTACTCTTTTTTTTTTTTTTCTTGTTAAATATGTAGGAGTTTCAGAAATCCCTCGGAGGCAAACATTCTGTGTATGACACCACCAATCGAACTGGGCGTTCTCTGAAGGAGAAAACGTCGCTGGCTGATGACAGCCTGAAGCTGGACAGCATGCTGAGTGAACTGAGGGATAAGTGGGACACCATATGCGGGAAGTCTGTGGAAAGGTAGGACACCCTTCGGGCTGTGTAGACCTGCATCGCATGCACAGTAGAGTGTGTGTAGGGATGGTGAGTGGGCCTCAGAGTCCTTTGGGTAAGGAATACCTGCTTTGCTTTTCCCAAATACCCCCTCACACTGTATTGAAAAGGCTGCCCAGTTCTTTTTTATTTTTAACTAGGTCTACCTGCTTGCTTGTAGACAGTGCCACAGTCTCTGTACTCTGGAGGCCCCCTTTTCTCAGCTTTTCAAATGCCGGGGTGAGCGGCGGCGGCACCACTCCTGACTTCCGGAGCTACTGTTCCTGCTCCTTTAATTTCCGTCTAACTAGTAGAATGGACACATTAAAATACAAGCGAGAGTCTTACCATTTCTCTTTGGGGACTTCCTTTTGGGTATACAATAAATCAGGCTTCCTGTATGACGTGGCATGCAAGGCACTGCTTGATCTGACCCAGCATTCCCTCAAACGTCCTCAAACCTTCCTTTGTCCAAGCGGACTCTTGTCGGGTCCCAAGACTTTGCTTTCAAATGACCTAGTGTTTAAGGAAGTATGATAGTAGCAGTATGAAAATTCAGACATCCGTGTTTCAGATTTTTCATTATCATTAGACTTTTGTCAGAAAAGTTGAGTATCCTTACCCACAAGCCTTGAGGTGAGAAATACTCAGATTTTGGTATTTTATTTTTTGGGGTTTTTTTTTTTTTCCTCTCTTCAGACTATTTGAATATATACCATGAAATACCTTGAGTCTGAGACTCTAGTCTAAATTTGAAATCCATTTGTTTCTTTTTTATATACCTTACATATATAACCTGAGATGATAGTTTAATTTTTAATAAAAGAAAGCATTTAACTAGGCTTAAAACTCCAGAGGATTATGGAGTCCGTGATGGTGGGGTAAAGCATGGCATCAGGAACGGCTTGAGAGCTCACACCTCAGAGTAGGAGCAAGAGGCAGAGAGCACACTGGGAATATCTTTTAAAGCCTCACGGCCCACTTCCAGTGACACATTACCTCTAGCTAGGCCACACCTCTTAATCCTTCCCAAACAGCTCCACCAAACCAGGTGTTGAAAGGTGAGAGCCGTTCTCATCCAAACCAGTACAGCCCGTTTCATTCTGTAGGTGACGAGTGAACACCGTCTGCTTTGCTGGGCAGACCCTTGGGTGTAGTTCTGGGTGCACATTCCGATTTTCTCCGCTTCTGACATCTTATCTCGGAAACCCACCTGTGCCGACATCCTCAAGTGTTTCACCCTTATGTCTTACTTTGTCTCCAACGCGGTTTTTCTTAGGTTCCCTAGGATACATGAAGCCCTTTGCGCCCTCCTGTGATTGGGAGGTGTTTTCTCCAGTTATGCGAAGTCATTCTTGGTATTAGAGTCAGCCATTGTTGCAATGGGGCCTAAATCACCTTTTTATGTCTAGTAGCGGTCAGGTTGTAAAAATTAGGTGCTGTTCCAACTTGGCATATAAATTTACATCTCATTCTGATTTTCCTCTAGTAACTTTGAATATCGTTTGCTTAGTTAGCTCTTCCTATTTATCTTGTGCATGTGATTTTACTGTATTACAGGTATTACTTTCTTCCTCCTTAGCATGTATCTTTTTTTCGTTGGGATCTATTCATCTGATCACTGATAGTGTTTACTAAATTCTTTCTGTTTCTGGGTATTGGATTCCCTTAAGCATCTGTTGTACTTCTGGTCTAGTGGTATCTCAGAAGGTGGTGATTCCTAGACTGTGAACAATAGATCTGCTGGTTACCAGGGTCTTGGTTGGTGGTGATTTTTCTCTCAGGACCCAAAAGACACCATTCCATGCCCTCCTGGCATTTTAGAGTCCCTCTGGGGAAATCTGCTGTTAGTCTGCTATCTTTACCTTTAAATGTCACTGGGCATGTCTAGCTCATAGGTTGTAATATTCTTCCTTTTGTCCTGTACTTTTAACAACTTACGTATAACATGTCATGGTGACATACTTCTATGGACATGTGTGTTTGAGGTCCCAAATGCTTCTTGTCCCTGGATATTCGCGTCCTGAGATTTGGGGAGTTTTCTGTTATCATTTTACTGATGGCTTCCTGTGCCCCCAGCTTGTAGCTCTTCTACCTAGGGGACGTCAAAGCCTGGAATACTTCATCTTTTCAGGGTACCCCAGAGCTCTCGCATTTTCTCTCCATGGTTTTCTGTTGTTCTTCCTGTTAACAACTCAAAAGACCTGTCTTCAAGCTCTGTTTTTTTTTTTTTTTTTTTTCCCTTCTGCCTGATAAAATCTGTTGCTGAGGCTGCCAGCTAATTTTTCTTGGGTTTCTTTGTTGAGAATTGTTCATCTTTTGGGTTGGGTGTTTTTTATGGTGCTGTGTGGCAGCCTCCTTAGTGATATTCTCCTGATGACATGGCTTTGGGAGCTCTCAGTCCTGGGTTTGACTCCCAGCATGGAACTGCTCATTCTTGTCACAATCTGCAAGGCCAATCTTCTATCATCCGTGTTTCTTTCTTACATTATCCCAAGCCCGCAGGGCTAAACTTAGAAAGTAGATTTTTTTTTTTTTTTTTGAGATAGGGTCTTTCTTTGGCTTTGGAGCCTGTCCTGGTTTAGCTCCATAGACCAGGCTGGTCTTGAACTCACAGAGATCTGCCTGCTTCTGCCTCCCGAGTGCTGGGATTAAAGGTGTGTGCCACCGCCGCCACCACCCGGCTCAAATATCTTTTAAAATAAAACTTGAAAATGCATTTGCTTATTTGGACTCTAAAGGGTCAGTGATTTACAATGATGAGGTTCGGGGAATTTTCCTGTAACAGATGCCAGGTGTGTGCTTAAAGGAATAAAAAAGTATTTACTAAGAAGAGCAAAGGAAACACTCACTCCTCTGCTTCAGGACCACCAGCCATCATTGGGGAACTTTGGGAAGCTAATTCGGCTCCTTTTTTCCCCCCCAGACAAAATAAATTGGAGGAGGCCCTGTTATTTTCTGGACAATTCACAGATGCCCTGCAGGCCCTCATCGATTGGCTGTACCGAGTGGAGCCGCAGCTGGCAGAAGACCAGCCTGTCCACGGAGACATTGACTTAGTGATGAACCTGATTGATAATCACAAGGTATCACGACCCAGAACTTTCTCTTCATTTTGCTGTTTACTTACTCTCAGTGTTGAAAAGAAGGCAGGCAGTTAAAGTAGCCTTTTAAAACTGTGAGTGTCTTACTACGTCACTGTCTTCCTACCGAAATGTGTGGTTGGGCGGATCCGAAAGCCATCTTTGAAAGCCGTGGGGGTGAGGGCAGTCACTTAATCAGTGGAATGCTTTTCTTGTAGTTACATGATCTATGTCTATCTTAGGCTTGAAATGTAACTTCATTTTGTGGCCCTTTTTGGTTCTTCATTCAAAGAGTTATGCGATAAAATTCAAAGCCATTCACTTAGTGACTTGGAGGGTGTGCAGATCTGGGACACTCCCAAGGGGTCATGAGTAGATCCTCTTGAACTGTAGTAATATATGAATGAACAGCCCATGCTCAGAGGTTTATTTTAGAAAGATAGCTTTCCTTTTGATTTCCTAGTGCATATGCTAAATGGTCTCATATTAAGGATGTACTTAAGGTTTACAGCTGGCAGTAAGTATGAGGTATTAATTTTTTATTTTTATTTATGTGTATGTGCATGTGCGTGAGGGGGTACACTCAAAGGCCAGAGGACTCTGTCAGGTCCCCTACAGCTGAAGTCACAGACAGATGTGAGCCACCCAACATGGGCGCTGGGACCCGAACTCAGGTTCTCAGGGGAGAGAAGACGCTGAGCCGTCTCTAACCCTGAGGTCTTCATTTATGGTCCTGTAATACAGTGCAACTTGGCAGGCTTTGAGAATGGCAGGAAACATACACGTGGCTGCCACTCCAGAGCTGAACTTCTCTGCAAAGAGCTTATGGCTCGTTGATTTCCTAATGTGTTTCCTTCCTTGCTACGGTTTTCTTTACTTCGGAAAGTGTATTTTATTATCTTATTTTAAAGTGTTCTCTTCCGGTTTCTTCAGTTGTGCTATTTTCTGACATGCCTGATTTTTTTTTTTTTAAACTGGTGTTTAAACTCTTAAGACGTATTTGCGTATTTATTCCATTTTTGCCTTTATACTATGATTATGCCCATAGGGAAGAGTTTATTACACTTAACACCATCAAAAGAAAAGAATACATAAATAACATGCTGGAGGTGGACCTCAGTCAGCTGAGTGCTGGCTTTAGTGCTTTGGCTGTGGCCCCTGACAAGGACTGTACTGTGTGGTAGCTCACACCTTTAATTCTAACACCCAGGGGGGTAGAGACAGGAGGAGCTGAAGTTCAAGGTTATCTTTGTGCAGTGAGATACTGTCTCAAATAAAGAAATTAAACGACATTGGTCAGGCCCACAGAAAAATAATAATAATAACCATTTTTATCTACAATGCTTCACTTTTATTGGAGAAAATACTGTTATCTGCGATAAATCCAGACACCGGCTAGGCATTCCTTCAGTGAATAGTGAGTGATGTAGTGTTGCCTGGTGTATAAACACCATGTTGATAAGTTTACTTTGTAGATATTTGCTATCTGAAGCACTTTCCAGACTTTTTGCACATTAAAAGTCATCAAATATGATTTATTCATTACAGACTAGTGATTTAGTTAGAGTACTCCAGAAGTTTAACTACACAAAGGCCCTTGGAGAGTCCACTTTGCATAGTCACGGGTGAATGTGTACATATTTCCCTCCCATGTGTATTGATAGTGCGTGTGTCTGTCCGTAGCCGCATACCATTGAACACTGGCAAACTGAAGCCTGTTCACCACAATCTGTTTGGATTATTTTGCACAAGCTTCCTCTGGGAATGATTTTTTTTTTTTTTTTTTTTTTTTTTGGAAAACTAAAATAATTCTATTGTTGATAGAAAACTGGTTATCTAAATATCTAGTTTTATATACTAGATTAAAAACAGAGAGTCCTGGGCTCAACTTCACTTCTTAAGAGTGACCCAAAGGAGCCATTCTGTTTAGTGGCATGTCACTTGTAAATTTGCCTAAATTAAGAGGGGGAACTAGGAGCTCCCAAAGCCTTCCCGCCGAGGTGGCAGGTTATAATTTAGTCCTCTAAATTATGAAAGCATGAGTTAATACTTAAGGTGCTGTGGGGGGAGCTTAGTTATAGAAGAAAGGACCACATGGTTCTGTTGGACCCAGTCATGTGTACCAGGATTGCTCCTCCTCTGGCTTGTAGCTTGTCTCTCAGAATTGTACCTCGCGTGCATGTTGTGGCAGCCACACTAATGACTTGAGAGGAATTGGGATGCTCTACTACACGACTCAGAAAAGAAGGGATTTGATACCATGCATACTCATGTGTAATTGGAATTGAGAAGGCAGATCACCTTCATTTAAATCTGATATATGTCATTTAAAAAACAAAAAACTTGTTCCCTTATGAAAATGTTCCCAGATATAAACACATCTATCTAAGATAGTGTTAAGTTCTCAAAGAGGAACCATGAGTTACTTCTTTAAACTTGTGGAGATTCTGCCAAAAAATTTGATTATTAAAAACTGTAGGCTATAGGCATGTATGTATGTATGTATGTATGTATGTATGTATGTATGAATATGCACACACATATATATGGTGTTTTATATATGTAGATATCTTTCAACAGTGCATTTCGCTATTTTGGTTCTTATGGTTTCCTTAGGTCTTCCAAAAAGAGTTGGGGAAGAGAACCAGCAGCGTGCAGGCCCTGAAGCGTTCTGCCAGAGAGCTCATAGAAGGCAGCCGGGATGACTCCTCCTGGGTCCAGGTCCAGATGCAGGAGTTAAGCACCCGCTGGGAGACTGTGTGTGCACTTTCTATATCAAAGCAGACACGGTTAGAAGCAGCCCTGCGACAGGTAAAACCCACGTAAACAATAGCTGGGTGTAATGAGTGAAGTCCAGGGGCCTCAGTAAGAATGGCTCTGCTAGACTAGGGGGTCCAGTCCACATCCTCAGCCTCATCCTGCATGGTCATCTGGGAAGTCTAGTCTGCCTCATCACTATCTATGGTCTTCTTCCTGCTTCCTGCTCTAAGAACTTGAAGTACTTGGAGGGGTATGTGATAATCTCTGCTTAGTTCTGCTTGAGTAATGTCTAAGCTTGGAAACCGAACTAGCTGCCACTCCTCTAACTAACACTAAGCTGCAAGAATGGTGAGCTGGTCTTCCTGTAGGCCTTCTTGATGTACTCCATCCCTCCTTATATGTGTAAAACACAGTAGCATATATCACTGTGTTCTTAACAGGCGTAATGTGTGTAATTAAGGCTTTTCCCACGGGGGTAGCATGCCCACAGTTCTGTAAATGTCTCTAACCGGTGTATCGGACATCTGACATTGTGTGTGTTTTGTGTGTGTGTGTGTGTGTTAACTGTTAGGCAGAGGAATTTCACTCTGTGGTCCACGCCCTCCTGGAGTGGCTGGCGGAAGCAGAGCAAACCCTGCGGTTCCACGGGGCTCTCCCAGACGATGAGGATGCTCTCCGCACTCTCATTGACCAACACAAAGTGAGTAATTTCCAGGTGGTGAGTGAAAGCAAGTGAGGGGATGGAGAGGGTGGAGAGAAGCCCGTGACTGCACAGAGCAAGGGCAAGAGCTGTTTTCTTCCCTTCCTGAGGAGAAATTGACCACCTGGTACATTTGAGGGGGCGTCTTTACCTCCCTGGTTACACATGTCCTCATAGACCTATGCACCCGGGTAGGCAGCTGTCTGGTTAGGTTCCCTTTTGAAAGAAAGTGGTCCTTACAGAATTAGGCGCTCTGTCTTCTCTCTCTAGGCTGCACATTGGTGTCTCTAGAGCATCATTTGGCTTCTGGCCAGTTAGTCCATTTTGTCACACTTGTATGTGTATTTCAAGAATGAAACTTCCTTAATGAGCAGCAGACATTTACAAAGTATCCCACTAGAAACGTACATTAATAATTTTGGTGTTTATATGCAAAATTAGAAACTCACTTAAAGCCTTAAAATTTATTATTATTATTATTATTAGGGTGTTTTTTTTTTTTTTTTTTTTTTTGAGACAAGGTTTCTCTGTATTGCTTTGGAGTCTATCCTGGAACTCGCTCTGTAGATCAGGCTGGCCTGGAACTTCACAGAGATCCACCTGCCTCTGCCTCCCAAGTGCTGGGATTAAAGGCGTGGGCCACCAACACCTGGCACAATATTATTCTTAAGGCTCTCCCACTTTGGGCTTTATTTTATTTTATTTACTTACTTGGTTTATATTATATCTTGTGTGTTGTGTAGACCACCCTATGCTTATGGAGCTGAGAAGACAACTTGAGTGTGTTCTTACCTCCTGTCATGGGGCTTCTGGGGCTCAGACTCAGGGCTTCACACTTGAAGCCCCCCGTTCTACCCGCAGAGCAGTGTCCCGGGTCCACTCCTTATTTTTAACCAAGAACCTTATAAAAATTCTTTTAAGAACTAACCTGTAATTTAAATGATAAATTTAATGCATTAATTTCATAGCGTTGAACAACTCACCAGGCAAAACTGTAGCCACTGAGTTATCAAAGTCCAGCAAAATTAGTTTCTGCACCTGTGCTTGGAACTTGGCAAAACCCTCCCAAGCGTGGTCCACAGAGCAGATGGTTATTAACCTTTGACTGGAAAGGTCGGGAATGTACAGCGCTCACACCCTCCTCGGCGTTGATGTCAGCACTTCCGATTAACTTGAAAGATTCTCTTCAGCACCACTTAGCAACCTTCCCTTTCGAGGTCATGTTGGAAGTACCTCATTCTAGTGTAGCGCGTATTACATCATCTGATTCTTACTGTAATCACTGCCCTTCCTCAGAGAGGGGTCGGCCAACCGTAGCAAGGAAATGCGGCCTTGCTGTAACCATAGTGATGCATGGTTGCACAGCATTGCCTGGAGGAATGAAGGCTCTGCACCCCATTTCCATGTGAAGCTGGACTCTTAAGAGTAGGAAAGGCGTGTCAGGCTTACGGTGGATTTTAGATTCAGCTCAGCATTTAGAAATCTAGGCTATACCACTGGGGGGGGGGGGCTGACAACCAGCCAGCATCAAATCCCACACCCAGATTGAAATTCTTACTTTTTATAACCCTGACAGTAAATGAATGTCACCAAAACCTTGGGTTCAGCCAGCACCAAGCAGCTAACTGCAGTGTCTGTTCTGCTACAGGAGTTCATGAAGAAACTGGAAGCAAAAAGAACCGAACTAAACAAGGCCACTGGCATGGGGGACGCCCTTTTGGCCATCTGCCACCCTGACTCCATTACCACCGTTAAGCACTGGATAACCATCATCCGGGCCAGGTTTGAAGAGGTCAGTGTGCCTTGCCCCAACTCTGGTAGCAGTGGCTGAGAGTTCGGGCAGGGAAATGGGAAACCTCAGCAGCCAGGTAGGGTACTGCGGGAAGTGAGGCCTGCCTTCACGGGAAAGCGCCCTGTAGGCTTCCCTCCCTGTGCACCAGTCAGCCCCTGGAGTGGCGGCAAAAGCTACCAGGTCTGCAGCTGTGGCCGTGAGACCTTAAGAGGCAGGGGTTTGGTTCGCAGATGTGGGCAGATGGAGGTTTTGTCCCACCCCGTTCGTAGTGTGTGCTGAATTATGCCGCGGGTGCTGAAGAGTGTCTCGGGCTGTGTGTGCTTGTGGGGGGAGCGAATTGAAGGACACCATGGGGGTTGAATCCCTATTTAAGGTCTTAGCACATTAGATTCTACCGTTTCTGAGTGCCGCCCAGAACACGCACCTTTGGTCCTTTAGAGAAGGTGTACTTGAACTTGACAAAGCACAAGGAGTAAACCGGAGTAAACCAGGATGCTGTGTATACATCATTCGTGTTGTGGTGGTGACAGACACCCTTAAAAAGGGGGTCTTGGTGCTTCCTCAAGCTGGATGTTGGTCTAGAATGGAAGGAAGCTTCATAAGTGTAAGCCCAGAATGATCCTGGTTTACATTTAAAATTGGTATAGTTTACGCGTTTGAATGAAACTTTTCCCGGAGTTGGAAGGACCTCAGTGAGCTAACCGTGCCTTTCTGCAACAGGTGCTGGCCTGGGCAAAGCAGCATCAGCAGAGGTTAGCAGGGGCGCTGGCCGGGCTCATTGCTAAGCAGGAATTGTTGGAAACTTTGCTGGCATGGTTGCAGTGGGCCGAGACTACTCTAAGTGAGAAAGACAAGGAGGTCATCCCACAGGAAATTGAAGAAGTGAAAACCCTCATTGCTGAACACCAGGTAAAGAAACTCGGTCCTCGCCAGTTAGCCTTCACCTCGGCGTCTCCTTTCTCCTCTCACTTCCCCAGCAATGTATTCCCTCGCCCGAGACTAGTGGGTCTCTCATTCTGTAACTGCCCTGCAGCTTGGCTCTTCCCAGGACCTCCGGGACACTCCCCACCCCCCATTTTATCCTCAGCTCCAGTATTTGAACCCGCTCCCTCTTCGGGCAGCCTCGTTCATCCCCATGGCTCTGCCTGATGTTTCCTCTGCTTCCTCAGATGACCAATCATTACAAGCCTAAGCAAAAGGGCATGCATTTTCTTTCTCAGTGTGACTACTCACTCCATGTACCTTGTTTTAAACTCTGAAACGCTGGAGTTTTTGCACCCTGACTCATAGTTTGTTTAATTATTGGAGCTGGAGAGATGGCTCAGAGGTAAAGAACACTTGGAGAGGGCCTAACTTCAGTTCCCAGAACCCACACTGGGCAGCACAGAACCACCTGTAAATTCAGTTTCAGGAGCTCCAATACCCTCCCTGGCCTCTTCAGGCCTCTTCAGGCAGCACACACGGGTAGTGTGTATATTAAGGAGCAGCAGCACACACATCCACATCCACATAACTAAAAAGGAAATTTAAAGACGTTATGTCTGCGCTATTGGTGCCCATATCTCAGTTTATGTCCCTGTGGTCGGAGGCATCATAGTGGCTCAAGTGTGATAAATACTACAGAAACAAGTTGTCTCTGTCTTCACCTGCCCGCCCCACTCGTTCCCCGCAGCCTCTGCCAGTCCTCAACCTTGGCCACATACCCAACATGTAGGGACCAGTCAGTAATAACAAGAAGATGAGGAGACACAATATGGAAAGGCAGGGTACTAAGCCTTTTAAATGCAGCTCCAGTAAACATTAACTTCATTGACCCCAGCCCCTGTAAAAGTCGCTGCTTACGACCATGCGTTTAACATGGCCATCTTCTGCCTCTGTGTGCACAGTCATTCCAGTGCTTAAACTGTGTGGATGTAGTGGACCACAGCAGGAAAATGCCCCCCAACATCCCTGGCAGAAGAGCGTGAAAGTTCAAACCGAGCTGGTACAGGGAGTTGGGACCGATGTCGTACGTCGTTTTCAAACTGAAAAGTGACAGTTCTGTTTTTCATTTGAGTTTGCTTTTGGTCGGGTGTGGGTTTTGCATTCTTTGGAGATCAGTAAAAGCACCCACTATTATAGTCATTTACAATGACAACCCTTTAAAAATGACAGCATAACCCTTTCTCACCCTGTGGTTTTTGCTAATAATGCTAATTGGACCTGCACCTTGATTTAATTGATACTGGTTTTTCCTTTCAGACTTTCATGGAAGAAATGACCAGAAAACAGCCTGACGTTGATAAAGTTACCAAGACGTATAAAAGGAGGGCAGCTGACCCTTCCTCATTACAATCTCACATTCCAGTCTTGGACAAGGGACGAGCCGGAAGTAAGCAGGGGCAATTTCTTAAAGACAGCAGAACAAGCTAGTTCCCTTCCCTTTTGAATTACCCTTTGAAATCTGAGAGAAAGTGGTGACCCCACATGAACACTACCTTAAAGGGTTTTCCAAAAGCACACCTTGCAGATTTGAGAAGAAATTGGGAAAAGTAAGAATCGAAATCATTGGTTCACCTTTCTTCTGGTGTATAAATAGCATTAAAGCTGAGCAACCAAAACTGATCATGATCTGGGTGAAGAATGAACTCTAAACTCTCATTCTCCAGTGGCTGCCCCTCCTTTACTAATCTTACAGCCAGTCCTAACCCAGAAGAAGCCATTCAGAACGGTAGCAGTTGGCTCTTAGAATGTCAGAAAGAATAGTCTACATTGTACAGTTTGTGTGCTTTTGAAAGTGCTGTAAACATTAGGCTTGCAGAGTTTTCAGTATGTGAGTGGGCCCCATCGAGACACATTTCTGCAAGGCATAAGACCAGAATGTGAACCTCAGTGAGTGAACGTGACTAGGTTGGGATGGTTTTCTTTGCAGCACAGTAGTTAAAGTCAGTCCCGCCTGGGAGCCCAGCGCACCCGGTCTCTGCCCATCATCACGGGAAAAGCTGTGCCGTCTGACCGGAGTTGTGTTTTAACAGGGAAGCGCTTCCCAGCATCAGGCCTGTACCCATCCGGACCACAGACACAGATCGAAACTAAGAACCCCAGGGTTAACCTCCTGGTGAGCAAATGGCAGCAGGTTTGGCTCCTGGCTCTGGAGAGGAGAAGGAAGCTGAACGACGCCTTGGACCGGCTGGAGGAGGTCTGGGAACTCACACACACGTGTCTCCACGTTGTCTTTCCGTCCTCATTGTGTGCGATGGGCTGTACAAAAGCATGGCTCCCTCTTGCATGAGCAAACCCTTAGACTCTAAGCGCTCTTCCTCTTCCCAGAGGACCACTGAGATTCTGTGTGATACCACAAGAAACTCGCCTGTGTGGGGTTTGGATCCAGGGACCCAAAACCTAGAAAACTTAACATTTAACAGTCGAACGCTGCTCTGTAAGAAGGGCTTTCCCCTGTGGGGGAGGGCTCTTATTTTTTTTATGTTGTGGAAGGATAGCAGGGTGGGTTGGGCGCATGCCAAGGCCTGTGCTCTCCCTGACACTCGAGGCGCACACTTCTGTGACTGGTGTCGTGAGCAGTTTTCAACGTAGAGAGTTTTATTTGCAAAGAAAAATCAGTGATATGGTGAAATAAACATAACAAGAAAGATCAGGGCTTTCTTTGAAATGGGACATATATGTGTCACCTGGAAGCCATCGTCTTGGTGGCTTTATTCAGCTCGTAGAAGATGGAAGTTGGTGCTCCTACCCATGCGCACAGATGCAGCACTGAGTGGCTTGTGTAACAAAGAAATAAGTGAGATTGGGAGGGGGGATGTGGAGGGGTATGTGAGAGTTGGAAGGGAGAATGTGGAGTTGCTATATGGTATTTCATTGTGGATATGTATAAAACTCTATCAAGAATAAAGACAGAGAAGCTTAAGGTAGTTTGAGCCCAGCACTAACTCAGCCAAAATGTCTGCCCTTTGTAGCTGAGGGAATTTGCTAACTTCGATTTTGATGTCTGGCGTAAAAAATACATGAGGTGGATGAATCATAAGAAATCGCGAGTGATGGACTTCTTCAGAAGAATCGACAAGGATCAGGATGGAAAGATCACTCGGCAGGAATTTATTGATGGAATTCTCTCCTCCAGTAAGTTCCAAGACAGAACCACGGGAGCCAGGGTTGGGGGATTTGTGCAGAAAACAAGCCCAGTTTAAAGCTATGGGGCTAATAAACTCGTGTTGCTGGCGAGGCATTGCCTTTTAAACTGGCTAGGAAATCACCAGCTTAGAAACGTGTGAAATACTTGTTGCACTTGAGTCAGGCATACTACTATTTTGTATGGCCACAGGAATATTCCTTCACTCTCCTCAAGCTGTGTTATTAGTATAAATAAGTTAGCAATATTTGATTTTAAAAGAGGTGTGTGTGTGTATGTGTGTATTACCCAGCATATAGAAGCAAATTGATAAAAACTGATTTCTGTATAATTCTGGTCCATAATTCTGTTCTGATATTAATTGAACGTGACTGCCCTGAGTTAGCTCATTTGGCAACTCTACAAAAGCAACAAGTGCTACTAACTACTGTGTAACCCTCCAGCCCCTCATCCTACTTCTTGAAGATAAATTTTTATTGTATATTGCTGATTTATCATATTGCAAATGGAGTAGCTTTAAAAAACAAAACAAAACAGTTCGGTCACCCTGACCAGCCACATTAAGAATAAAGATATGCAGTCAAGTATGTCGTGAGATGTAATTAGCAAACTCCCTCACCAACATTGTTCGGTGTGTTTCAGAGTTCCCAACTAGTCGCCTGGAGATGAGTGCTGTGGCAGACATCTTTGACAGAGACGGTGATGGATACATCGACTACTATGAATTTGTGGCAGCTCTACACCCAAACAAAGATGCCTACAAACCCATCACGGATGCTGACAAAATTGAGGATGAGGTACTTTGCGTCTGCCCTCTGTCACCACTGTGCTAGTGAGCTCTGCAGGGTGTTGGTGCAGCTCGCATAACGGCCAGCTCATGGGTGGTTGCTCGGGCCCCGCTGTGAGAAATACCAGGAGTAAAGCGAGCGTTTCCCCTGTGTCTGTGACAGGTCACCAGGCAAGTAGCCAAATGTAAATGTGCAAAGCGGTTCCAAGTTGAACAAATCGGTGACAACAAATACAGGGTAAGTACTGTGGGCGACTCCGCCTTAGCGCCTTCGGGCACGGGGGCCGAAGGGCGTGTTAGTTAGACCTACACTGTGGTCCAGGAACCTTCCTCGTTCCCACATCGTCTCGAAGCGTGATGGTGTGTGACCCTCCACGTTTCCCCACCCCTTTTAAACTGTATAGACTCCCTAATTATATAATGTGTATGTCACATAGATGGCTTGCTTTTGAATAGCAGGCCTATCTTTAGCATCTATAACATGCACATGACCTTTAATCTTTTTTAACATTTGTGTTGTGTGTGTGTGTGTGTGTGTGCACTGAGTGCGAAGGACAGACTGTGAGTACATATGTGTACTGAATGTGAGAGTGGGCGTGAAAGAGACTGTGTGTGTGTGTGTGTGTGTGTGTGTGTGAGCCATGTAGGAAGTTTCCTGTTGAACTAATTTTGTCTTTCTTCCATTTTTCATTTTTTTTTTTTTTTTATCAGTTCTTCCTGGGAAATCAGGTATAAACCAGTTGAATCTCAAGTTCCCAATGATTTTTTATTTTTCATCTTTAATTCATAGCCATTAAAGCTTGCCATGGCCGGTCCTTCCATGCTGTCTTGCTAGCTACTACAGTGTTGGTTGGTGTGCTGTTTCTGTCAGCGCTATTAGAGTCCTTGATCCAGGATTCCTCTATTGCTTTGTGTCTCAAATGAGGAGGTTACTTTTAAGCAAACCAGATAATGAACTGCAGCTGCTTAGCTGGCTCCAGTGAGGCGAACACAGTGTGAAGGTCCTATGTTTCCAATACCATTAACAAGTTATTACTCAAGTGGTCACGGGAACACAAACTTGATTCTCCATACAGCCATTGCTGTGTCTGATTTTTCGGGACATAATGGCACAAAGTAGCACCAAGCAGTGTCCACGGGAAGACAAAGTACCAAGAGGTCTTAATGGGACTCAGCCACAAATGTTATGCATGCATCCGCTGCTAGCTAACTTGTTCTAAGTTACTGGTTTACAGTAACATGCCAGGTCACGTGTGATGCTGTCATAGCCGGGTGTTTGCACTGACACCTGAGTCAACATGGGCTGCTTAGTGATGCTGTGACATGATCGAGATTTTAAAACTACACGCAGGAGAGACTGCATTAAAATGGACACGTGTTCAAGATTCTTTTTTTTTTTTTTTTTTTTTTTTTTTGACTGCTCTGTTCATTCAGGAGCATACTATACTGTGTTAGACAGTAGTGTCACTGCTCCATTGTAAGGCACATGACACCTTTCCGCCTCTTATTAAGAGCAGGTTATTATTAAGAACAATGTATCCCGATTACAGTTTCCCCTCCCTCTGCTCCTCCCAGTCCCCCCCCCCCACGTCTCCTCCCCTCCAGGTCCACCCTCTTTCTGTGTCTCACTGGAAAAGAGCAGGCTCCTAAGACATAACGAAGCATCACAAAATAAAACATAATATAAGATGAAGCAAAAACTTATCACATCGAAGATGGACACGGCAGACCAACAGAAAGAAAAGAGCCCCAAGAGAAGACATAAGAGTCAGAGACCCACTCATCCACACACCCAGGAGTCCCTTACAGACACCAAACTGGAAACTGTAATATACGCCCGCTTCATACTGTAGTATACGCCCGCGGACCTGCTTCACACCCAGGTCCTCCCTGCCCTTGCTGCCTCCTTCCCTGGCCACGCTACGTCTTCAGCTGCAAATTACCTCTTAGCTTCAGTGTTCCCGTAATCAAAAGTTTAGAGTTAAATGACGACATTCCATTGAAGAGAGCTTTCCCAAGAAATATTTCAACTGACATAAACTAGCCATACACACACACACACACACACACACACACACACACACACGCACGCACGCGCACACACACACACGTGTGTGTACATATATGTATATGGGATACAGTGTGATAATTTAAACTTGTGAATAATTCATAAGGATAAAATCAGAATGACACCTATTTGTTGTAACAGATAAAATGTTGCCTTTTCATGCTCTGTATTTTCTGAATCAACAAGTAGGGTAATATCTTTTATTTCTGGAGAAAATAAGAGAAATTCCTACCTTCAAAGATTTCTATGTCCTGAAAATACAAAGCAACGTGAGTCTTATCTCGTGGTTTGGCCTCGAGAAAATCAGAGGGATTCTGGAGATACTGTTAATTGACTGGAGAATACCTTGTTAAAGTGAAATCCAAGGTTACCATATTTTAAAGAACCAAAATACCGTTTTAGGAAGCAATTTTAGTTGCTTCCTTAAGTCTAATTTGGACCTGGCCTTAAACAAGTTCCGAGTGAGCCCATTATCTGGTTCCTTAAGGGTAATTTTCCTCGCACCCCCTTCTCCCTTTGCTTACCAACTGCGGCAGATTTTCGTCTCTAACAATACAAAGTCAGGTTTTAGTTTTTAAGTGCACAGCTCAGAGGCAGCTCACCCACAGGAACATTTAAGTTTTCAGTGTTTAAAAGTCAAATTGGGAAGCGCCGCGGCTGGCGGCTGGCGGCTGGCGACGTGACTGGAAGCCCTGAGTCCCCGCTGCTGTGCCTTGAGTTTAGCTTCCTGAATGCAGCCTGGCTGGCTTTCCCCAAAATCCAGCATGAAAGACCATAGAAAGGTAGTAGGGTGCTCCTACCTAACATAGTACCTGCAGGGGGCAGCTACAGGCAGCTCTGCTAGGAAGCTGTCGGCATCTGATGAACTGTTTGTTGGTTTTCTGTGTCACTAAGTGGACCAGCTTGAAATTCGGTATGATGGTTTTCACGGTTGGACGTGAGCCTGCAAGAAACAATTGCCAGGTACAAAAAAAAAAAAAACATTTCTTACTTCTAAGACAAGTAAGCCTATGGCCAGAGCTGCCTGTGCCCTCGAACTTGTTCGTTCAAGACTTGGCAGAGCCCAAGCTCATCCAGCTGAGTGGCCCCTCGCCGAAGGAGCCCCGACCATACCGACAGCTTTGAGAAAACCCCTTCTAGATCTGCAAGCTGTGTGGCTAGTAACTTGTCAGTACCTGTTTTAAGACTTTGGTGATATATAAATAGGCATGTTACTCCAACCCTCTGGCTAATCAGTTCACCAGACCACGTTAATTTTAACGTGTAACTTTTATTAGTCATAAGCATTTATTGCTTTATCTCCAAGCCTGAACTTCCCTAGGGACACCGAAGGAGCGTAGGATTTTTTTCCTCCTCAAGGGAGAGTAGTTTTAACTTAAGAGGTAGTTTTCCCAGGTCACCTTATCTTGTGTAAATCCTGGGCAAGTGGACCCGTGCACTCTTCATGGCTGTGCGGAATGTCTAGAGACATCCTCGGTTCCTGCTTAGTGAGCATTGTTTCTATTACAAGAGGGAAAAATAATTTGTAACTGTAGAACGAGGCTTCACCATTACACTTGATTAACCTTTGTGATCTTTTTTTTCCCCCAACTGTTTTCCTTTGAGCTAAATGGGCATGCAGCGGTCTAATGTAGACCATTACAAACCCCTTTTGAGATTTCACTAATTAATCACCGTGAACTAAGCAAGCAATTAAGTTGGTTGCTTACGCCACAGCTAGCTGCACGCCATCCTTTGGCTCAGAACCGGTCCTAACAATTAGAGGTCCTTTCTCTCTCCGCTGCCTAGTTTGGAGACTCCCAGCAGCTGCGACTGGTTCGGATCCTGCGAAGTACCGTGATGGTCCGTGTCGGAGGTGGATGGATGGCTCTGGATGAGTTCTTAGTGAAAAATGATCCGTGCAGGGGTAAGGAGACGCTTTTGTCACGATGTGTCAGCACCGAGAAAGCACAGTAGTGTCGAGTGTGTGTTTGCACATTGAAAGCAAACTGGGCCCAGCTAGAACCCCACAGCCGACGTTTCACATTGGCCTGTAAAACACTCTCTTTCTCCTTTCGTCCCACTAATGGAATGAATTCGAGACAGGTGGGTAGGAAATGTAGTCTAGATTTTCTGTGTAAGACCCTCCTGTCTACAGTTATGAGCATTCCCACTCAACAGGACAAACCTCTGTCTGTCACTGAAAGAAAATTCAGTCTGAAAATAATAGAGAGTAAAAGTTTGAAAGTCGGATTTTTATGAGATGGGGAGAGCAATATATAAAAACAAAAGCAAACACTCCTTGAAGCTAAATAACAGAATATTGAAACTGGGTGGCTGGTGGTGGCGCATGCCTTTGATCCCAGCACTTGGGAGGCAGAGGCAGGCAGATCTCTGTGAGTTCGAGGCCAGCCTGGAGGCCAGTACAAAGCTACACAGAGAAACCCTGTCTCAAAATCAAAAACAAAGAATATTGAAACTGTAAATACTATATTGTAGCTTTTGTCATCTCTACAAGCCCAGGAGTTTTAACTTAGCTTCTAATATCCCTATGTTCTATTTTAAAGATTGTACTATTATATTTGTGCGCGTGTGTGCATACGTGTGTGTGTGCGTGCGTGCATGCGTGCATGCGTGTGTGTGTGTGTGTGTGTGTGTGTGTGTGTGTGTGTGTGTGTGTGTGTGTGTGCCAGTGTCCACAGATCCTCCAGAGCTGGAGTTACAGGTGGGTGTGAACCGCCCATGGGTACTGAAACCTAACTTGGGCCCTATGCAGAGCAGTAAGTGCTCTTAACCGCTGAGCCTTCTCACCAACCCTAATATCCCTGTTTTCATGTCCTCCAGTTACTGGGTTCTTAATTGATCATATGAATATTTCATTACATTTTCTAATTAGGTGCCATCTACTCAGTAAGCATTTGTTATTTCCTGTGAGCTTGTTATAGTCCTTTGCCTGTTAGGCTACCACGTGGAAGGCCAAACGGGAAACCTTCCTTTCAGTGCTGGCACCTGGATACAGATGTGTCAGAGTCAACAGGCGTGTCCATCAAGGCCAGCGTGAACTGTGACATAGCCACACAGCAGCCCTGCTCTTTGTTAGCTAAAGAAGCAGCTTAGTGGGGAGTACAGCAAAGCATAAGCTCTCCTGTTCCGTCTGTTGTACTTGTTTAACACTGGGGCGTGTTCTGAGAAACGTATCATAGGGTGTTTTCATTATGGTACAGATGTGAAGTGCACTTAATACAAGTCTAATGGCTTACTGTCCTACACACCAAGGGTATATGCTGTGTGTGTGTGTGTGTGTGTGTGTGTGTGTGTGTGTGTGTGTGTGTCGGGGGGGGGGGTATCTGGTATATTATCTGTTGCTCCAGAAGCCCTGATGAATAAAACAAGGTGGGATCGAATCAAGCACAAAATAAAATTGTGCAGCAAAGAAATGCGGTCATTATAAGATGCATAAGGTTGCTGCTGCTATTCTGATACTGCATGCTGTTTGGCAGAAACTTCTTACAAGTAGAAAAAAGTGTACTCTGCTAGTAAATATAACAAGGTAAATACATAAAGGGGTAACTGTCGCTGTTAGCACCGTTGGAGCCTTGTGTCCTATCTGGAACTGGGTTGCAGTTTGTCTGACTGACACTGCAGTGAGCTTGTCCACACTGGCATCGACACGAACATGTCAGTAGCGATATTGTACCACACCCTTAAAACGGCTACAACGTCAGACACGTGATAGGAATTGCTCAGCTCCCCCGGAGCCTGTTGTTAAGCTAAGTGTCAGTTTGCGGTGCGTGACTGTACTTTGAAAAGAATGCAGCCCGTGGGAGATGCAGCCCGTGACCAGGAAACCAGTGTGAGTGCATCCTATGCTGCGGAATCGCAGAGGACAAGCTAACACAACTGGCCAGGCTGTGCGGCTGCTTTCTCCTGGTTGAGTAGGACCTTACAAAGGGCTTTCTCTCTTGATGCAACTCCCTTCCTCGGTGTGTGCTAATGGCTGGATCTCAGCGCTCTCTGCAAATCCAACTACTGTACTTTGTTTCCTCTGCTAACCGTGTTCTTGAATGTGATTGGTTATCCTGTGTCATTTTTTTCCAGTTCATCATCATGGGAGTAAAATGTTACGTTCGGAATCAAACTCTTCAATTACTACTACTCAGCCTACTATAGGTTGGCAACCCCTCTCTTTGGCTCTTCCCTCTTCCTTTTCTCTTTTCTACTTTTACATTCTTGCTTTCATGATTTTGTTTTAACATGATATGCTTCATTCACGTGTATGGCTTTAACTCCTCACATCCAGCGAGCTGGGGCTTCTAATCTTAAACGCTGAAAACTCGGCAGACTCGCAGTATGTCGCAAATGCGAGTGTCATACAAGTGATAAAGCACATGCTAACACGTTGCCCATCAGGCCCTTCCGGAGAGTCCTCCATGTGCATATGTGTTTGTATGAGTGATATGCATGTCAGTAAAAACAGCTCGGTTTTGTTCTTTGGTTTTTGGTTTTTGTTTTTTGTTTTTTTTTTTTCTTAAGGCCTAAAACTAAAATACTAGCTGCCTCACTTCAGTGAAAATTCTGGAAGTTTTTAATGTTATCTTCATGACTAACAAGCCATCTCCGATTTTGTGTAATTTTTTAATCCCGGTGTTAAATGCTGGCATTCTCCGGACCTCAGCATTACATGTCAGAGACACAGCCCTGCTTTTCTGGCCTGTCTACTTGGTGTGGTGTACGGGTGACCGAGCGTGTGGGCATCAGTAGCTGGTGGATTAACAGTGGCATGAGCTTTCCATTTTCATGCTGACTCTGCTTTACACTGGTTATATCCTTGCTGGTGTCTAGTGTTCGAGTAAGCACACCCTTTCCATCTCCCTTGTACCCGAGAGGAATGCATTGTGAAGGAATGCATTTAACTTCTTGTTACGCTGAGTTGGAGTTGGCATGGCAAAAGGATGTCCTGGATATTCTCAGCGTTCTCTCTGGTGTCAGGTGTTATCTACCCCTCTCCCTCCCCCTCTCCCTCCCCCTCCCCCTCCCCCTCCCCACCGTTCTCCCCTGCAAAGACTGAGTTGCTTCCTCTTTCTTTTTGTGTGTTTTTTTTTTTTTTTTTTTTTCTGCACGTGTGCCGCCATCCAGCTAAAGGGAGGACCAACATGGAGCTCCGCGAGAAGTTCATCCTAGCGGACGGTGCCAGTCAGGGGATGGCTGCCTTCCGGCCGCGGGGCCGCAGATCCCGGCCCTCATCCCGAGGGGCGTCACCCAACCGGTCCTCTTCTGTATCCAGTCATGCTGGCCACGCAGCCTCCCCACAGGTGCCTGTCGCTGCCAGCACACCCAAGGTAGGACTCTGTCTGGGCTGTGTGTGGCCTCTCCTCTCCCAAAGCACTCACTGTCCCCAGCAAACAGCTGGGTGTTTACTCCCCCTGGAAGGTGTAGGACCAGCCACATCCATCTGTGTCTCTTCTCATCTACTTTGTTTGTTTGTTTGTTTAATATGCTTTGCCCGGCGACCCATGAAGCAGCTGTCCATACTACAGGGTTGCCCGTCTAGGGGCTTTGTCAACCTTTCAGATGTTTAAAACCCTCCTCCTTTTGTGCGCCCCCCCCCCCACTGCATGTATGACCTGTCATCATGTCTGTCCGCTCTGACTGCCACTGCCTGTGCGGTGTGACCTCTTTTCTGTGGGTTTGTCTTGTCTTTTATCTGCTCTCCTTTACATTTAATTTGCCATTGTCCCACGCAGATTCTCCACCCTTTAACACGCAATTACGGTAAACCGTGGTTGACAAACAGCAAAATGTCAACTCCTTGTAAAGCAGCAGAGTGCTCAGACTTTCCTGTGTCGTCAGCAGAGGTATCGTAAGGCCCCAGACTCCAGCCCTAACAGCCTTCCCTAACTGACACTACTGCCCACTAACCCTGACTCAGCACTACCTTAAATGTGTGTTCTGTTGGTACTGCTCCATCTTCTTGTCACCCTCTATAAAACAGTCCTCAGGGGACATGAGAGTAAGGGGTTGCCAGGAAAGACAGTGGCAGCTCGACATGTTCACACCGTCACGCTGTACCCAGCCCGTGACTTCTGTCCCCACTCATACTGGATTCTCCATGTATCATTTGGAAGAATAAAGCGCGGGCTGTGTACTCAGGCCTATGAAAGTTTTATTAAAGTGGTGGAATGCTTTTGCTGATAGATCTAATTTGAGCAAAAAGCTTAGCATACTCCCCGGGATGAGAAGGTGAGACAGTGGCCATTGCAGCATTTGCAAGAGAATGACTTAAAGAATTGTAGTAAGTGTTTGCCATGACGGATGCTGTCATTTCTACTCATTCATGCTGGCCAGGTATGGCGCAGCTCTCAGTTCTGAGTGCCGCAGCATCAGAGGCATGAGCATAGGAATGAAGAAAGCCAGCTGTCATTTTCAGAAGGTGTCTGTATTATATTTTAGTAACAAACGTGATTTGAGCATGCTGTAACTTCGCAATGACCTGGTATACAGGGAGAAGATGCTCAGAATATTTCAGATAACATTTGCCAAGTTTAACTCACCTATTAGATTGTCCACATTCAATTAAAAACAACCATTTTTTTTTTTTTTTTTTGGTTTTGTTTTTTTAGAGAAATTCCGTGAATTGATCGATGTAGATACGGTTTCACATAACTTGATTAAAACCACGATAATGGAGGAGAGGTCCCTAAACTTCTTTTCTTGGGAATATGGAGATATTATGGGCTTAATGGTTAGGTATAACCCCGTCCCAGAAGTGTAAAACAATAGGGGAAGATACCCAGCATCTACCTGTGGCCTCGTCACACATGTTCTCACATGTGCGTGCACACGCCCGTAAATAACATCTCAAGTACAGTATTAGTTGATTGACACAGTGGCCTGTGTGATTTTAAAGGATAACCTCACAAGACTGAAAAAAAGAGAGTAGGATAGATAGCTCCGTAGAGCAGCGTGTGCATGTGGCAAAGTCCAATCAGAGTGTAAGGAAGGTGCGCCCGTCACTCACATGACTCCTGACTTCAGTAACGCTGGGCGATGGCTTTGTTCATATCAGTGGGTGTCAGCAGCCACTCCCCGTGGACAGTTGAGATTCTTCTTAAATGAGGAATTTCACTAGATCCACATTGTCAGACCTTGGGTAGTAAGGCTTCATGTATTAACTATGACTAATGTATAGAAAAGCAGGTTGAAAGCATATATATATATGCTTTCATATATACATTGAGCCAGGCAGTGGTGGCACACCCTTTTATCCCAGCACTCGGGAGACAGAGGCAGGCAGAGGAACTCTGTGAGTTCGAGGCCAGCCTGGTCTACAGAGCAAGTTCCAGGATAGCCATGGATGTCTCCAAAAAAGAAATCATAATATGAAGCTCAGGGTGGGTGGTGTATTCCAGCATTTGGAGTGTGGGGGGAAACAAAACAAAACAAAACAGTGTTACTGATCAGCCTTGGCTTTATTAAAAATTTTAAACTCAAATGGGAAGACTGTTTTAAACAATATAGTCATCATTTTTATAGCTTTGTTTTCTCTATGGCTTCTTGGCTGTGTGCTCACTGAAAATACGAAATCTCTTACTCTAGACTAGAGTTTTATTTTTAACCTCAGGAAAATTTGCCCTTTACGCTTTCTTCAGGCGACTCTTAAGGGTTTTAAGCAAGTGTCCCAAAGGTGCTGCCTATAAATAAGTCCTGCATGGTCGAGCCAGTGCCACAAAGCATAACAACAAAGAGGAGGAAAGGCTCTAGGCCAAGGAGCGAACGCATTCAGTGTGAAGCCAGAGGACCACACTTCCTTTTTAACGCTTTATTCGAGCAGTATTTTCTTCTCTGCTCTCATCGTTCGTCTCTCTGTTTACGTCTGCCTCATTTTCCTAAGAACATGGACGGCAGAGGAACGCTCAAGCATACTTTGCAGCAATCTGATCCCTTCTCTGCACAGTCACCCTCCTGGGGACAACTGTCTAACACTGTAACACTGACAGTCTGAGAGTTACTAACGTGGTGGTCCCCTCAGCATGGCTTTTGTGTTCTATGGGGGACTTTGGGATTTGTGTTTCCTCTTCCATCATGAACCCGTTTTCTTTAGAAGGTTTTCTTTATGTGAGTAATGGTAAAACCTCTGGGATTGGCGGGGGGGGGGGGGGGGGGGGGGGGGAAAAGCAAGTGAGAGGCGCACACACGCTCTGTTTAAGGGAAGCGTGTCTCCCTCCTTCAGAGGACTTGTGCAGATGTCCGGCCATGAGGAAAGTATGTCAGTGGGATATCGTGAGACACAGGCACAGTCTTAAGTGGTCTCTGCACTGCTCACACACAGGGAACGCCAATCCAGGGAAGCAAGCTGCGACTTCCAGGGTATCTATCAGGCAAAGGCTTCCACTCTGGGGAGGACAGAGCCTTGATAACAGCCGCAGCGGCCAGAGTCCGAACACAGCTTGCTGGTGAGTGTGGGCCGTTTCTTTCTTTAACAGTGACCTCGGGATTAAAGTTCCCTCCTTTCCTAAAGTCTTTTTTTTTTTTTTTTTTTTTGGCAACGCTCTATTCTTTTGAAATGAAAGGAAGCCCTAATCTTCCAACAAAGACAGAATAAATGAATCCTAGGAACAAGTGACTAAGCAGACTCCTCCTTTGGAAAGTACCAGAGAACACTGGGGCATAGATATAGGTAGTTAGCACTGCACGCTTTGCCCTGGGAACCGCCCTTGTCACCTCAAAGGGAGCACCCGGGGCTGTTCCAGAAACTGGGAAAACCCAGTTGCCGGCTTTCTATCGCTTACTTCTTCTAAGACTGAAGATTTAAGTGTCGTCCCAGCACTCCAGGCTCTGAGCTCAGCATGAGGGACACTTCTCACACTGTGTAAGTCACTTCCCCTCAGACAAGGCTTACTTACACCAGAGAATCTGCGAGCATTCGTGACAAGCCAGCGCCACCTCCAACAACAGGGTGTCCTTTGTGCCTGTCTGTAGTGGAAGTGTTTTAAGTTCCAAATGGGGTTAAGTCCACGCTTATCTTGTATGGCAGTCTAGGCATTGCTCTTCAATGCCTCCTTGGAATGAGGCTGCCTGCCCTTGTGTGATAATGAAAAGCCACCAGACCAAAGCGTTTCTACCTGAATGCCCAGTGCAAGAAAAGCATGTTGAGTTTAAACATGGCGCCTCGGTTTTCTAGACTCGTTTGCAGGTAAATAGGTAACAAAGGTGACTCGTCTCTGTCTCCTCCACTCAGAGTCCAGGAAGACTCCCAGCCGCCCTGGAAGCAGAGCCGGAAGCAAAGCTGGCAGCAGGGCCAGCAGCCGCCGAGGCAGTGATGCGTCAGACTTTGACATTTCGGAAATCCAGTCTGTGTGCTCAGACGTGGAGACTGTCCCACAGATGCACAGACCTGTGCCCCGAGCAGGTTCTCGGCCATCCACAGCCAAGCCTTCTAAAATCCCCACGCCCCAGAGGAAGTCACCTGCCAGCAAATTAGACAAGTCTTCAAAGAGATAGTGCGGTTGGCTCCAGCAAGCCCTTCCCTGAGCGTTTATTACCTCAGTGGATGATGTAAAATGCGATGTACAGATTACTGTGAAATATTGCAGGAGGCAAGTTTTTGATTCTGCAGATGGCCTTATTTGTGTATTTGTCTTTTTATTTGATCTGTATCGCTTCTCGGTCAGGTTTTCTGGGGTAAAAAAAAAAAAAAAATCACATCATACGCGATACGGAAGAAAGAACTTGACATGAACTAATGTTCCTGCACTGTCCCGTGTAGGCCACACACTAAAGTCAGTCACTGTACCTACAGGTAAGTCTACATCCTCTCCCACAGCCACAGCACTGCATAGCTGACGTTAAGGGATTACCTCATGACACTTCTCGTTTCTATGACAATTCTCAACAGCTGACAGACGTAGCAGGGAATTTTTTTTTTTTTTTTGAAATGCTTTTACTGTAAATTAGAAGTAAAGCAAAAGGAAAAAAAAAAACACATCAACACACAGTTCTTCAAGCAGTAACCAACAGAGACTGACAGGAGATTGCTTCAAGCAGCTGCGGGTACCGTGGTGTGCAAACACCTCACAGGCTTGCAGCCAGACGCGCATCTGCTATCAGCCGTCTACACTGTAAGAATGTGATGCAAAGTGCATTCGTATAAACGTGCCGTTTGCTTTGCTTGGGTGGACAGCAGCCCCTGTACCATTGAACTCATTTTGTAACAGCAATTTCGCTTGCAAAAAAAAAAAAAAAAAAAAAAAAAAAGCTATGAAATAAAACATGTCCCTTAACTTCATTGCTATGGAATTAATTTTTTTTCCCCAGGGAAAACTGGTGTATTTTTTTATGAACAGTATCAATTTGGAGTGACCAAAAGATACTTTAAAAGTAGGTTTATTTTGATTTCTCTCCTGGAATAATCATGTTCTGGTATTATATCTACTTATATTTACTAAATATGCATTTTAATTTATTATGTATACTCACAATCTAGATAAAGATATTAGTATGCATTTAATAAAACATATTCACTTGAATATATGGAATACTTGGTTATTTAAAGTGAGCTTTTCTGTTTGTTTTAAACGATATACTAATAGTATTGACAGGGGAGGTTTGGGAGGTGTAAAAGGAGGTTGGAACTAGTGGGAACCACCTGTTCTGGTCATATGCCCACTAGTGTTAGTGATACTTAGGCTGCAGCAGTCCTGACCTCCTATAGTCAAGGGAGTCCTCATTATGAATCACTAAAAAGCGTGGACAGAAGTGAGAGATGTACCAAAATGACTGATTTTATTGTTAGTATTATGATATTCTTCTGCAGTCTGTAGTCTGTGTGAGGTTTTTGGTTTTGTTTTTTTTTTTTTTTTTTTTTTTTTGTCTGTTTTTAATCAAATTACGTGATTCTCCTAAATAAGAAAATAGTGCGAGCTATATCGAGAAGAATGGCAGGTGGCTCCAGTGGGCATGGCAGGTCACAATGCACTCTATAACTGAACACAGAGGTCAGAAAAGGGTGGTGTTGGTGTTCGGGCACATGGAGAAAGGCTTAGGGTTTTTTTTGGTTTTCCTAATTGCTGCATCGTTCACGAGCGTTGGTGCCTTGTCTGTGCAGTGGCTACGTCCTCTTGTCAAGGCATGGATAAGACAGTTCTGACCATGAGACGATTTGGAGGCTCGTGCATTTGATCACACACGTCATCTAGAAAGGACGCTGGAATGACTATTGCTGTAATGTTTTGTACAAATTAGGTTTACACAGAAGACAAACTTAAAGGAATGATTTTGTTTTCATCTGTCGGAACACTACCCCTGTTAAAGCGGTAAGGAGTCTTGGGGATGGAGAGATGGCTCCGTGGTTAAGAGCACTCCTTGCTCTTGCAGAGGACCTGGGTTTGGTTCCCAGCACCTACGCGGCGGCTCACAACCATCTGTCACTGTAGTTCCAGGGGACCCAATGTCTTCTTCAGACCTCGGTTGGCATCACACGTGCACGTAGGACACAGACACGTGTGCAGCAAACACTCAACACATAAAGTAATAACAATTAAAAACAGCTACAGCCTCCCTTTTCACTAGTAAAATGGGCTTTTGAAGAAGGTGGGTGTTTTAAGGAGAGGAGCCTTACGAATCCTGCCTGGTCATCGCTGCCTTGTGGAGACTTCACTACTCCCAGATGCTGAGTGCTGCTGAGCACAGAACACCCCTACGCACCTGCACACAGCTCTTCCCTTTTGTTTGTTCTCCTTAATCTTTCATTTTTTCCCTCTTTCCTCCAAACACAGAGAGCATGGAGCCCAGTGCTGCGGCACTGAAGTGTATAGTCCCAGCTACTCCAGAGGTCAGGTGGCTTAAGCTACAGAAGGAGGTCATGTCTTAAAAGCAGCAACAAAAACAGGTCACTGGGAGGGATCTCCAACCCTGAAATCTTAGCTGGAATATGAGGGAATCCAAATCCTGGGCAGATGTTTTTTTCTGTAAAAAAAAAATAATAATAATAATAATAATAATAATAATAATAACCAAAGCCGCCATGCACTGCTCCTTTCTTTTGAAACGAAGGCTGGAAACTGTTGGACCTGGCCAAATGGCAAACGTGGGGTTAAAACCTGGCAGGTTCCTCTGCATACCCAGGACTGGTCTGTAAACAACATTCCCAAGTGCAGTACAGTTATCTCCTCTGACTGGTGCTGTGGAGTGCTCTCAGGTGAGTGACCCAGGGCTCACAAGTAAAGTCCCAGTTGTCACATGCTCTCAATACTTGCTGTCAACCTGGCAGGTTGCCACCTGAGGTCCCACAAAAGCAGCAGGCACTTTAGTTTTATCTTTCAATGCTTTTGGTCAAGTTGAAGATTACTCAACTATTGCTACAGCCTGCTTAGAAGTGAATAGTCATGTTTAAAGTGTGCATGTGCACGGAACATGACGTTGAAATCCTGGGTGCGAGCTGTCAGGCTGCAGGGTAATTGGCATCACAACTCCTGCCCGCTAATAATGGTTAGGATGAGGACCAACGGGCTAGTTTTTTGTTTTCTTGTTGTTGTTGTAGACATGCTAAATTAACGTAAGCAGAACCGTGTATGCTCAAGGGAAATTCTTCCTACCATCCCTCCCCGACCTCCCTTCCCCTGCTTCCTCCTTCTCTTCCCCTTTCTCCTTCTTTATCTTTCCTGACTTCCTCCCTCCCCTGACCTCCCTGTCCTGTGACAAAAGGAGAAATGACCAAATCTGTGTTCACTGTAAGTGTTGGGGTCACTTACAGGCTTAGGGACGGATGACTCAAAAATAACTGCCATCGACAAGCTCGCCCCAGCAGGCAGCAACTCATCCTTGGTCCCCCCTACATGACTTTCAGGGAGAGGGAACGGCCCTCCCTCCCGCCCTCCCTCCTTCCCTTCTAGTCTCACATGTGATAGATGACCACTCTAGGAATGGGCTTCACTCCAGCTCTTCAAAGGAATTTCACGCCTATGCCTTTATTTTCCTTTATTGAAGATTAAAGTCATTTGAAGGTTAAGAAATTTTTCAAATACCCCCCCCAAGGGAAAAAAAAAAAAACTTCTCTTGAATTGTTACTATTCTTAAAAACCTTAGCTACTTCGACCTTCGCCCTGGGGGAGGAGGAGGTTTAGTTATATCAACTATGTTTTTGGAATCAATCTACTTTGCCTTTGGTCTCCAGACTCTCCCTAGCATATTCCCATGAGTAAAAAGTATTAAAGGTTTGTGTTATGGGGGATTATGGCTCCCTTCTGCAGGTCTTTCGTCTTGGTGGAGGAATTTAACAATTGACTTAGAAGGAAACAAAGCATTCTATTAAAGTTTGAAGGAAAACCACAGGAGCAGGCCCACAATCAGTGTTGTCAGCTGCTGGGAGGAGCCAGGTGAAGAAGGAAGGCCTGCCTTTGAGTTAGGGTCCAAGGAAGCAAGTAGGGCGGTGGTGGCACATGCTTTAATCCCAGCACTTGGGAGGCAGAGACAGGAGGATCTCTGTGAGTTCAAGGCCAGCCTGGTCTACAGAGCTACACAGAGAAACTCTGTCTCAGCCCCCCCCCCAAAAAAAAAAAGAAGAAAGAAAGAAAGAAAAGGAAAACAGAGAAAACAAGTAGGTCCATACGTTAGCAAGTGTATTACCGCCTTGAAGGGAAAGGTATCCCAGAAGTCGGAAAGTCAGAAGCCAAGGGTTACCTACAGCTTGGGAGGGAGAGGTATTCCTGCAGAAGTATTGCAGCTCTATTCCAATGTGGGACAGTTTCCCAAGCAAAGGTGTTACAGTCCTTGATTTAGACGAGGTTTCCCCTAATGCAGTGTAACAACCCTGCTCTAGCAGGCAAGGTTGTCGCTCTGCTCTGCTCTGCTCTGCTCTGCTCTGGGGAGAGCTGTTACAGCTCTGCTGTGCTTTAGTTAAAGCTGTTACATCTCTACTCCCCTCTGACCAAAAAAAAAAAAAAAAAAAAAAAAAAAAAGTCACTTTACAAACCTCACTTGAGACTTGGGAGGGCGGATTCCAGCAGAGTGGCTGCCTCTGCCAGGATGGAAAAACAGCAGCCCTAAATTGAACAGGTTCAGGGCTTATATAGGATTTCTTAGATATGGAACTTTTTTCCCAAGGTAGAGATTGTCAGGGTGGGGATTGGTAGGATTCATGCTCGGGAATTGGTTGGGTTTTGTGTTCAAGGAATAGGTTAATTTCAATTCCGGAGTTGGCTAGGAGCAGGTGTATTTCTTTGGCTCTGGTCTCAGGGCCAGAGTTTTCTTTTGTGGACTCCTTTTACCCTACAAGTAACACCTCAGAGGAAGTACCAATTCCCAGAGTGTAAAGGCAGGCTTGTTTAGGATTTTGGCACGTGTTCAAAGAATAGATTGAGGAGTGTGGTAATTTGAGTAGGGACGGCTCCCCATAGGCTCACAGATCTGAACGCTCAGTCACCAGGGAGGGGTACTATTTGAAAGGATGAGGAGGTGTGGCCTCGTTGGAGGAGCTGTGTCACTGGGGGGGGGGGGCTTTGAGGTTTCAAAAGCCCCTGCCAAGCACAATGTCTCCCTTCTCCAAGTGCAGATTGGATCAGGATGTAGCTCTCAGCTGCTACTCCAGGACGATGTCTACTGCCATGGTAATAATAGACTAGACCTCTGAAACTGTAAGCATTTCCCCCAACTAAATGCATTCTTTTATAAGAGCTGCCTTGGTGCCTCTTCATAGAACAGTGACTATGATAAAGGGCCAGGGAAGGGGACAAGTTACACTTTTTGAGTTAAGAAACTAAGTAGACAGTGAAAATCAGCTGATAAACTGCCCCAAAGAGGAGGGGGGGACTGTGGTTCTCCTGGTGCGTACAAGTACATCGTCTCATTCAGATTACTGCTCCCCCACACACACACAAAAGCATTTCTTTAGGTGTATTTGTTTTCTTGAGGGGAGGCCTTCCAGCCAAGTGATTGACAGGCCTAATTGGATGAACTCTTAAAAGGGAATTTTTGGGGTAATTTAGAATAACATGTCTCCACCCAGGGCCAGAGGTAGAACTCATTCCATTCTGTCTAGCAGGACATCTCTTTCCTTTCATGGACCTTCACAAAGCTGTGATAACACAACCTTTTCGCGTGGTATTTTAAATCTTAATTAGGGGTAACTGATCTTTATCCAGTGCTACCAGGGAAATGGGGAAATCGGGGTTCATCCTCATTAATCTGCAGGCTGGATAATGGCTGCCCAGCTCCCTGCTACCTAACGGTTCCTGTGTGAATGTCTTCTAAGAATTTTTTTTTTTTTTTTTTTTACAATTCTGTCATTTTTATCAGCTCTCTAACCAAGTCTCATTAAGGTGACATTTATCTTAACAACATTGGCATTCCCATGTTTCACTGTTCCTGATTTGGTTTTTCCCAAATCTGATGCTATCCTCCGATTTGTAATGTGGGCAAGGACGTGCAGAAGGTGTTATGTTGCAGTTTCCTCCGAAATGGAAACATTGTATCTTTCAGGGAAGCTCCTTAAGCAGGAAAATATACAACTCAAAATAGCTTCGGGAAGTCC